TTTGCACATTTTAATAAACAATTACTAATTATTTGCTGAATTTAACATATTAAGGGAAAAATTAAACATGAATTGTGGCAGAAGTTATAGCACATCATGTTTTAATTTTTTCAGTTTGTTAAAAGCAGCAAATAAATAGAAATTGTGCACTAAAAATCTGTTATTTTTGCTTAGAAAATCAACAAAACGTAATTTGATCAGGGGTGCCCAAACTTTTGCTCACGGCTGCGTTTAGGCAATTACATATAATGCCTAATAAGAACTATAATCACACAAAATAAAATGTAGTTTTTGTAGAAGCTTTGAGTTGGCTCACCTATGCCCACTACAAGAACATTAGAGGTGTGTAGCTTAAAAATAGAAGGAAAATATATAGCTTCGTATACAATAAAGGAAGGATGAAAGACAAGGTAACTGTATTGGATAGTGTGCTTTCAATATGACATTCTCTATTGTAGGTCAAAGGGGTGCCAAATTGGGAGCATGGAGGGATGAAAGAAGGCAAAGCAGGGTTGGTCAGATGAGTAAAGGGGTATGGAATGCATTTATGTGCTTTGTTTCATCTGAATCTCTCCATCTGATCTGTTGGTTGGAGCTTAAAAACTCAATGTATAATGACATCAGTGGATTCCTGTAAGACAATGGAAAGATGAACAAAGGAACAGCAGGCTGAGATGGATGTGCTGTCAGTATGAAATGCAGTTAAGTGTTTTGGGTCAGCAGCTGAATATTTATACTGATTTCGATGGCTTCAGCTCGAATGTTCATGGGGTATTAGAATGAATAGGATTGTATGTGAAGATGGGGGGATGAAAGGAAGGATAAGAGGGTTAGAAAGAAAAGTCTTTTCAGTATGGAATGCAGTTATTGGCTTTAAGCTGAATATTTATACAAAGCTTGATGGTCCTAGCTTGAAAATTCAAGGAGAAGTGAAATCAGTGGTATGTGAGGGATTAATGATGGATAGAAAAATGAAAGGATTATAGAGGAGCGAAGAAAAACAAATGGTTGTACACTTAGTTTAGGACAGCCTAGCCATCTTTGGGGTCTTGTAAATTATGGAATCAAGAAAGCATTGAAACATTTATCTAAGTCTACTGGATGAAAAATGAGGCAGGAAAAAGAAAGGATGAAGGAGGCACAGTGGTGTGAAACACAGAGGAATGATAAGAACCTCCACAGCAAATTTGGTGGTTTTAGTTCAAGTGCTGTCAGAACAGAAGCAGTCTGAAAGGAAACTGGACAAATAAAAAGATGAAAAACAGGGATGCTAGTGATCTTTTTAAAAAGCACAAACTACTTAAGCGTGCACAGGAGGCTAATTACAAAGTCAACTGTGTTTTTATAAAACGGATCGTTCCGGTCCTAAAATCTGATGGGCTGAGTCATGAAACTGTTGTAAAATACTCAATATAAACACACCTACGGCTGCCTCACAACAACTGAATTCTGTACTGAGTGCACAGATTAAGTATGAATCCTTTTTTGGTTAAACTGAGGGGTTTATAACTTATTTTCTAAACTAAAACTATACTGGTGAACTAGGTATCAGGCTAAAAGATAGCAAACAGGCTAAACAACTCCATCATTAATATCCCGGGCTTGAATTAAAGTACTTATGATCTGATTCACTGTAAAACAGCAATACAAAAGTCTAAACGGTGTCTCTTGAACGGCTTACACTCTTCAACTGTCCATGTTTCAGTCAGATCTGCTTTAAGTAGCGTCAAACCCAGGCTGAATCCCAAATGGCTCTGTACTCCCTAAATAGTGTTATCATTTTGAAATTATAGATTTATATTGTAGCTAAGGGAGCTAAGGGATTCTTAGTGGAATACTTGTTTATGTTGATTATTATTAATAACAACAAATTATTATTAAAAAAGTGTGTATTTTATCATATCTTATGTTGGCCGCCGTTTTATAAAAGCAATAAGGTACTCAAAGCCATGCACTACTGCAGTTTTATCACGAGGAAGGAGGTTTTATGCACTTTGTGTCGCATTGTGCCTAAGAACACCCTTCCCCATGATAAAATCGCAGTAACACATGGCCTCGACTGGCTTATTGCCTAATTATGGATTTTGGATGACCAGTGATCTGCTAATTGATGCAGACACTCATACAAATGTAATGTTAGCATGAGTGTAGCAGTGTATATACCTAGATCTGAGGAGATTTAGCATATAAACACCTAAACATGGCCAGTGAGACTTGTATTTTATGCTTTTATATCTGCAAATATATTTGCATTCATATTTATGTGCATTTTATATCTTAAATATGGTAAAGGGTATTGAAGTTTTTAATTGCCTATTTCAGTTATTTAAACTGGACTGGTCTGGTTGCACCATTTGATTTACTGGATGCGCCACCTGCCTTTTCAGACCAATTTCAAATTAAACAGACATCTACTTAAACACTCATAGAAACCTTTGTCCTTAAATTTGAGTTTATACTTATATTTTCTCAAATAAATAAACATTATTATAACAATTACACATTTTCGTGTTTTCCCAGAGGTCATAACACCTGACATGGTAAACTGAACCATTCACAAGAAACTAAAAGGAATTTTATATGGATTCAATGAAAATTGTTTCACATAAAAGAGGTATTGTTGAATAATTTGATATATTGCATGGATGTATCAAATTATTTTCTGGCAAAATAATGGACACAAAAATCCAAGTCATTTCAATGACCCATCAGTGAATGCACTCAGTAAAACAGTTCAGATTTTACAGTCCAGAGATATTTCTAATGAGATTAAATATAAAATAATCCACTTGCCTAAGTAGAAGAAGAAGAAGAAGAAGAAGAAGAAGAAGAAATCAAAGGAAAATAAGTGAAAAAACATAAGTTTGTAAAACTTAAGTTAAACAAATGACTAAAAGATGAAGAGAAAATGGGACTCCTAAGAACAAGACCTATTAGACTACCAAAACCATCACCATCACACTAACAGTACTTAAAGCTTTCATCTTTGAGAGTGAGGAGAAAATCAAGCTGCCTTAGGTCTGAGAAAATCCACAGGTATTTCTGTCCATCCTTCCACTGTGAGAAGACAACTCAACACTATGAGTCTGAAAGGAGATGAAGCTGTCAAGAAGCCATTACAAAGAAAAGGAAATAGACAAAAAAGAAGAAAATCTTAAACACATAAGCTTCTGATGTTCTCAGAACAATGGACTGACTAACCCAGTGTCCAGACCTCAACATCACTGAATGTGTTTGCGATTATTTGGACGAGAAGCAGAAAATGAAACCAATGTCTAAGATTTCTTTGAAAAACTGAAAGAACAGAAGCTATAATAAAGGCAAAGTGTGGACACAAAAAATACTGAAAAATTTGTAATTTAGTTGTTGAGGCTTCTGTGTAATTTTCTGTTAAAATACTTATATTTATTTTATATATATTACGTATATATTTGTCTATATGATATTTTTCTCATAATGAGGAACATTAGATGTACTGACTAGATTTAAGAATATTTAATTTACCAATATATCATTTTTTGCAGTGTATGAGTCAAAATTCTGCATAGCATTTCCAAAATGATAAAGCATCTGCTCTGGCCAGTTGTGTGCCAGCTCATTTAGGCCTAGTGGTCCAGGCAGATTCAACAGGGAGAAGCACAGATGGAGGAGGGTTGGGTCTGGCAAACAAATCCACTAAAGCCACATTATATATGAGAGGTTCCAGTCCCGGACATCTTGCAGTATATTACCTCTGATTAAGCTCAGGATACACACTGTATACCCTAAATCATCTGAGCCTGCTCCGGGTGAAGCCCTCTGTCCCCTGAGGGGATCTGCTACCACAACGGTGTGTCCACCACCTGGTCACTCAGATAAGGTAGACAGGTAGAATGGAAAGAGGAGAGCATGGAAGCTCCAGTGTCAGCAGGCAGTAGGTGAAGCGAAAGGAGCCCAGGTACCTTGTGCCTCGTGGTGATGAGAAAAAAAAATGTTGTCTGATCTTATCAATGCAGGGTTGTGCAGCAGGACTGACAGAAGGGGCTTCAGAGTCAACTAAACCTTACGCAACTTAAGCGTCAGCTCAACTTCACTGATTAGTGGTGCTAGCTTCAATAGTCAGATACAACACAATACCTACTCTTTTTCCTTTCTGATTCAATACCAAAACCGGTCAGATACTTATTCTTATAAAGTACTATTTCAGGATTGATTTGTTACAAGTTTGGATTCAGTCTTTTATCCTTCTGTGATCCAGCATTTTCTGCCTAGTCCAGATAATGACCCAAGACCTGATATTAAATTGCTTGCATCTCTATAAATAATAATAATAATAATAATAATAATAATAATAATATTTGTTCTTATTATTTTTATGCTGCTATTTCCTGATACTGAAAAGATGAAGGAGAAGAAGGAAAAAGTGCAGTAAAATAAAAAAACTTTAATTATGTGGAATCTAAATTAATTATGTAGAGACTTGACAAACAGTTTAAACAGTTGAGATACACTACACACTGCTGCTTCATGTCTGACAGTGTGGCGAGAAAATAGAAAGAACTGTCCAGTTAAAAAATAAAATAAGATAAAATGACGACAAATGACAGAGGGAGGAGGGTTTGGTTGATGGATTTGTTTGCCGTATAATCCGGAGCCTGTAGCATATCACACCCGGAATCACCATCTGTTTCCTCAGGGGCTGAGAGAGAGAGTGAGGGAGAGAGAGACGGCGGTATATACACATACACAAAGAGAGAGAGAGAGAGAGAGATACAGAGAGAGAGAGAGATACAGAGAGAGAGAGTGAGATACACACGGAGAGAGAGAGAGAGAGAGAGAGAGAGAGAGAGAGAGAGAGAGAGAGAGAGAGAGAGAGAGAGATGTGGTTAACCTCTTGGCTGGTGTCCTCGCTCTCTGCGCTGCTGCTCCGCGGATGAAGAAGTGTGAAGTTACACTCTCTCTCTCTCTCTCTCTCTCTCTCTCTCTCACACACACACACACACACACACACACTGAAAGACTGACTGGCTCTCAGTCCGGAGCGCAGAGATGGCAGGTTTGGTGAATGGTCGCTGGGGAACGGCAACGGTGGGTTTGAGGTGTTCCCTGGTGGTCCCCGCGGCTCCTGTGGCTCGGCTGTGCGCTCTGTGGTGACGGTGTCTGACTGTAAACCAGCCAGTCCGGTCGGTGTGTTTATTAGCGGACTGTCCACATGGAGCTTCGCCTTCACCGGCGCGGCCGCTGCTCTGAACGCGTGGAGATGGGAGACCCTCTGAGCTCACCGGTGAGGCAGACCGCACTTTCCCTTCAGGCTGACCAGCGCTAAGAGCCCCGTCCTCCGTTCACCCCGCTCGCTGTGGGAGACCTGTGTGACTGTCTGCACTGACCCCGACGCCGAAACAGCGCTTTTCTTTAACCTCTGCTTCATCGCAGTGACCGCGTTTCTCTTTCTGAGACGAGGCGAGTTTAAAGCAGGATGTTCTTTCACTTTTCCTCCCTCTGTTGGGGCGAGTCCCCGAGGCTGAATTCAGCGTTAACGCTGCTGTGACCGAGAGCAGTTTCACAGAGTTTGTTTCACAGTTATTGATCTGAGTTATCAGCTATTGTCCGTTTTTACTGTAACGCGCTCCTCCTGTACAGACTGCTGTATAACACAGCGTCCCCGGGCAGCATCAGGACCGGCTGGAAAGGAGAAGAATTAAAAAAACGCGTTTTCTCCGCACGCTGAAGTTTGGCCTCCACGGGGCGCCGTCGAAATGGGAGAGAACATGTCAAAGAGGCTGAAGTTGGTGACGGCCTCCGAGTCGGAGATGGAGGAGCGCTCGTTTCTCAACCCTTTCCCGGACTGGGAGCAGGGCGTCCTCGTCTCCTCCGGGTCTGGAGCGAACAGCAGCAGCAGCGCCGACCCCTTCGATGGAAACGGAAAGGTGAGCTGCGGCTGAGCTCGTTTCTGCAGAGTTTAGTCTCCGCCAGGTTAGCACTTTAGCTAGGCTGCTAGTTCGAAGCGAACTTGACTCAGGCTGCGCTCCAATAAGCCTCTTTTAACCACAACGTCAAAATCAAATCTTGTTTATTGTCACGTCACATTACACAAGTGCAAAATCTCAGGTGCGTAACTCCCTTTTAGAATTTAAATGCAAATATATATGTATATATGTGAAAAGGAAATATATAAACACGACTCTAAATATACACACATATACACTGTGCACTACACTTGCACTGTAAGTTGTGATATAATACTGTGATGTGTACATTAGGCTGGTGCGTAGAATCCTGTTCTGAGCGTTCTAACTGGCGTACTTGTGTTCTAAGTCAGCTGCGTAGCTCAGTGTCAACTGTCCTAAAAGCTAAAGGCGAGACAAACACGGACGTTCTAATGTTGTCAGTTACTTAGAATGTTCAGAAAAAGAGCTGAAGTCAAATAAACTGGAGTGAATGAGGGAAAAGAACGTTCTAGAATCCTTCAGCAAACAAACAAGGGTATGACGCACCAGACAAACGCCAGTGTTTGTTTGTGTTTGTCTCGTTGTTGTACTCACATTAGATGTACGTCACATTAGAGCTGGGCGATATGACGATATTTAACGATATCATGATAAATTACATCACAATATGTCACAGAACGCTTCTCTGAGCATAACGTGGATATTGTCAGTGCTTAAAATCATGTCCTAATTGCATTTTTGATTAAAAATAGAGCATCATTAGTCCTGTTTGTTTGGATTTAGTACAGTGTGTAAAATGTTGAATACAAATAATTAAATTCATAGATTTTGGTAGTATTTTTAAAATGTGGGCTTACATGGTATACATATCAGATGTCCGAAAAAATAAATATCATGACACATCGTGTGTTGTAAAAAATACTCCTTAAAGTATCGTGATATGATATTTGGCCATATCGCCCACCTCTATGCCTTTATATTGGTTTGTGGTGATGTCATTTGTGGGCTAACTTACACTGTTGGTAGCAGTTCTTCTGAACTGAGGACTGGTGTTTTATGTTTTGTTAGGATGCCCCTAAAACAGAGAGTACTAAAGATCTACTGGGCAAGTCAGAAAAGGAAAGACATATTAAGCACATTTTTCATGACAGAATTCTTGCAATGTCAACATAAAAAAGCATATAAATCACCACGTCCAAAATTACTGAACTGAAGTCAACACAGTCACAGAACAGGGCACTCTGAAATTGAGATCAAACAGCTTCGATCCAAACTTGTCAACATGGCACTAGCCAAGTGTCCTAGTTCAAACACGGTGCACAGATTGGAGCACAGCTAAGAATGCTCACTAAATGGGGCATGCATTTCTGGAAAGCGTGTGTTGCTTGTTGTTGTTGTCTGGATGTAAACAATATTGCACTCGCTACACCTTTTACCTACAATATAATGTGATTTAATGTAGCTAAAATCTGTCTGTTAGGGCTATAAGGTTTAACCATTTAGATTCACTGTTCTCTAGGTTTCTCTGTAAAAAGAAGCAAGTGCAGACTTCTGTGATATGAATTATGTCAGCAGATGGCCCGTTAGCTGGGCTCTTGGCAGTAGCTCAAACAGGTGCAGTAAGCTTCTTTGCCTGCTGTTGCACCTGTACACCTCTTGGATCTTCTGCATAACAAGGCTTTTATAATATTCACATCTATGAAAAGTTTCATATTCAAGTTATCCCTATAGCAGGTATGTAGTCTATGTCCCTAAACCTTACAATGGAGGCTAATTCAATCTTGGATGTTCTCATTTTGTGATTTACTTCACAGTAGGGTCCTGTCTTTGTTTACCTCATAAGTAGGTGAAAAAGGCACTTGCTTTATCTATCTGTCTGTCGATCTGTCTAATAAACAATGAAAAACAGTTTCATAATTGACTTTCTTGAAATGATTGACAAAATCCTGAATTTTAGGTTAATTAGACAGAATATAGTCATTCATTATACTTCCAGGCTTTTTTCTTTCTCAGTAGGCATAGAGCAAATTTAGATGGATAGATAGATAGAGGGATAGATAGATAGATAGATAGATGGATAGATAAATAGATCACTTTCTTAATCCCAGATGGAAATTCTTCTATTGCAGCAGTACAAAGCACAGTAAAGAGCAAAACAAGAGCAAAACAAACAGGAGCAAAGTATTGTCTTACAGTATTTACAAATGCATAAATAGAAAGTAAAGATAAATAATAGAATAAAATAAAATAAATAGATTTAGGCCCTGTGCATCCTGTGATCCTGATACGCAAGATGTGACCAGAAGTGACCAGGTGTAAACGGGGTCTAAAGTTTAAATAGGAACTGCATGCAGTAGACTTTCCATGTAATGTAGAAAGGTACTGTGGTTACATTTCTCACCTGAGGCCATCTTCAGTTATCATGCAGCCAGCCAAGAGAAAGAGCCTGCTGGAGTCTAGATTAGGTTTATACTGGTTGGTGCTATGGTAGTGGGGGCTTTGTTTGTTGCTGAGGAAGGAAAGGTCATGCTGTCACTTAGCATGTATATCCTATGCAGGTCTTGACAATTAAAGGTCGGTGCTCTCTCTTTTGCTCCTCAAGAAGCTTCATGTTTCAAACTTAAACTCTTCTGAAGCACATCAGTCTTGATCTCTTTCTTCTCACATAAAGCACATCAGTCCTGATTCCTTCGAGCACTTCAGAGAAAATTGAGTTTGGTAAAGTGCCTGTAAAGACCATCCTTTAGTGGTTGTTGTGTTTTGAGCACAAAAACTGGAACAATGGGGCACAATGTATAAATCAGATTGGCACAGAACAGTATTTATGGCTCAGACTCAGCATTAAACTGATCTCAGACTAGCTTTGTTGTTCCTTTAAATGGTTATCATCTGGTTAAGAATGAAGATCTGAATCTGGGTGGTGAGACTTGGTTCTTCATCAGTATCAGGATCATTGCACTGGCTAAGTACACTTGCATGTACTAGAAGTTTGTCTTTGTGGAATCTGTACCTACGTTAGTGGATAAGAACACCTAGAACACAAATGGTAAAAAATAATGTGATTAAAGGGAATTATGAAATATACATTATCCTAAATGTGCAGGGTATATACATCAGGTGGGATATGGGTGTAAACAGATGGAAAGGTGCAAAATGTACATGTCAGCAGTATGTAAGTCTGTCTATATCAGCTCAGTTGTTTGTACTGATAGATTCATAATAAAAATCAAGAAGTACATTGTGCATGTAGGTCATGGGAATACTGAGAATACTGTTATGAACCCTGATTTTGTTACTGGTTACTGGAATACTGCCTGAGTATTAATAACCCAAACCACATATCTTTTAATTCTCTTGTAAGTATAGATTCCACCTGTTAGTGCAGAATATAAACAGGTAAGTGTAATTCATTACTTGGCTAACTATGTACTTAACTATATAATTATGCAGTTACATTTAAATAGTGTGGCAGAATGACTGTAATAACTCTAGACGTCTGAGGGTTAAGGGCTGATGTTTCATATATAGATTTAGCTTAGCCTTGGGTAACTTCCTTCATCAACAGCAGTTCTTCATTTAACAGTCAATTTAGATATAGGCTAGCCCTATACTGTCTCTGAATAGGGAGAAGAGGACAGTAAAGATCTTGAGCTGAATGGAGCTACTGCCACTGCTTTTAGTGGCAAATTCTGATAACCAACCATTAGATTTGAATTTTACACTTTTTTAATTTTTTTTATAAGTTTTTGAATCCCAGTGATGCTATGACCTAAAATAATTTGAAAACCATGAGTTGTAGGCATCGGCCAGTCGATATAGGGGTCTGCTCAGTGTAGTGAAATAAATTCAGGGCAGTGGAGAACTTTTGGCTTTCCTTACAGGTCCTCTCTGGTACTGTCCAAACAGCACCACATCCACCCAAGGGCTCACCTTGAATTGACACCGAAAGAATGTTGTTGTGTTTTTAGATTGTTTCATTGTTCTACAGCTCTCAGGTTGCGGTATAGAAAATGCCCTTTCAGTAGAAGTGGTCCCACAAAAAGCCATTAAAAGCCTTAAACTTGTTTATTATGTAAATTCATTTATTTAATTGACTTCTTTCAACATTTAATAATTTCTTCTGGATGTTTTTCGCTAACAGTGGGACAGTTCTCAAATGGAGAAGCTGTAGAGTGTGATTGGATCTTACCCAAAACATGCATCTAGCTATTTTACCAAGATGTGTCTAACTTTGGTCTATGGTTACATCAGAATCCATCCTAACTCACTTCACCGGGCTCTGGGTTCGTTCAGCTGCAGCACGTTAAGGCTTGTGGGATGTGCGCAAGCTGAACAACGCTCACGCTCCTTTTGTTATGCAAACTGGAGGGAGTTTATCTCTTTAAAACATTCGCTTCCCTAGCAGGCAGCAGGAGGCTTTGTTACAGGCCTGTGAGCAAACTGGGAGGAGGCTGTGTGGCACAGTGTAGGAGACTCTCAATCGCAATCACTGCAGCTCCAAAACATGCATAGTTACTGGCTGGCAGTGCATCTGAGTCAATGAGGTACAGAAAATTTACAAAGTTCCTTCGTAGCCAGCAGATTTCCCCAAACAGCACTCTGTTTTTCTTAAAGCAGTAGCACTGCGTTAGCTATTTTGTATTAAAAATGAAAGAAACATGAATAAATAACTTGTGGTTTTTCCAATACAGTACACTTACAAATCTGTAATCTGCTCATTTTGTTGTCATTTCCAGGTGAACCGTATTGCACCTGAGTACTTGTGCTGAATTTGGTTTCCCTTCTTGCAGGGATACCAAGAGGTGGAACGTATGAGTAGAGCTAGAAATGGTGCAGACTATTGATTTGTGAAACACACTGTCAGACAACAGCCATTTCTAAACGACACTAGTTAGCCCGCACCGCCATTAATTGCAGTTAGAGGAACATTAGAGGAAGTGTGTTATCACAAGTGACATCATGGCTGTGATGTGCTTTCAGGCACTGTGATGTTATTGATGGTGATAACATCAACGCAGTGTTCTATTGCTTTTATACAAGTTTTATACAGTTCTGCAAAATACATTAAAAAGTAAAAAGCCAAGAAGCCCTGAATATTATAACGTAGCGTGATGTTTTTTCATCATTTTTTTTTTTATTTTATTTTCATTCTTTTTTTAATTAATGTTTGTACTTTTGCCTGAATTTTTCAAGAAATAAACAATCTGAAATGATCGAACCTACATTTTCTCACATGTAAAAGACAAGAGAACAAACTACAACCAAATATATTTCAAAATGTTTGTTGTTAAATTTCGCTAAACATAATGTTTTGGAAATACAGATCATAGGTGCTTTAGTCATTAAGGGACCATCTAAACAGCGTGTAACATATTTCGCTTGCATTTAGATGAAAAATAAGGCTAAATCAATCAAATCACTTGTACCGAGGAGAGTTGCTTCCTTTAAGCCTACTGCAAATCCAAGTTAAAGGAATTTAATTTACTGCTGGTCATTTGATGTGATTGAGTTATTTTAGCAACTGGTGGTCAGCAGAATGATAGCTGTTGTAACAAATAACTGCATGACTAGGACACTTCTCAACCAACCAGATTGTGCCGTCAGGACTAACTGTTGTATAATATATGTAATATATATGTAATATATAATCTATGAAGGTGTAGAGGCACAAATTGTTGCTGGCCCCATATCAGCGCTCTCTCTATAGATAATAAACGTAACAGTGACAGTGAAATATAACCCATTGTCCATTTAAGGAGATGCTGTTTATGATGGTGTATTTTTTAACCTACTACCCCACATCTTATTCTGAAGCCAATTACTTCTTTTAAACACCCAAAGTCCTGGCATGATGCAGTGCAGTTTTTCACTCAGACTGTGTGTCTGCTGCTGAGGTGGGCTGGGTGGTGCTGTCTCAGTGCAGTCTGCTGTAGGTGAGTGTTTTGATTCAGAGGTCAGAAGAGCCTCTCATCTCTCATTAGCATTCAGCTCACAGACATAGCGCTCCTGCAGATAGAACTGGCGGTGGAGTCAGTCCACCTCCCTCTCTCTTTTTCTGCTCTCTCAATGCCTGAGGTCCTATACCTAGCAGTATCAGTTCTAAAAAGGTGCTGCCAGCTGAGAGAGAGAGGGAGAGAGAGGGAGAGAGATGACACTGAATGTCCCTCAATGGCAGCACGCGCTCTGATCAAAAGTCTCTGTACTGTTCTTTATCTGCAGCCAAAGACTTCCTTTGTGTGACATCTAACAGCCAGTACCCAGAGCTGCCTCATGCTGCTCTGTACCATTGTTGGCTAGGCACACATTAGTCCGTTTTCTTTTTTGTTTTGTTTTTTTTGTGTGTGTGTGTGTTGATCTGTGTAAAGTCTTGCACCAGTAGTTGGAAAAACACCTTCATTCAGTGAATTTTGATGAGTTACATTGACGCTGGTGAAAATAGTAGTGTCTAATATCTGATCCATGTATATGTGTGTTGTGTTAGGTGTAAGAACAAGTTTATATTTAGGGCTGGGCAGTTTGACAATATTTACTATTATTGTGAGGAATTGTGACATAATATGCTTTTCTGAGCATATTGTGGGTATCGTCAGTACTTAAAAACATATTCCTAACTACATATTTGATTACAAAGAATGCATGATTAGTCCTGTTTAATTGCATTAAGTGCAGCACAGTGTGTGAAATGTTGAATACAAATCAATGTATTCATAGTTTTTGAAAGTGATATTTAAATGTGGCACTAGTTTGTCTTTTCCATCTTTATCAGATGTCAGAAAAACCATGTATTGTGACATATTGGGTCAGGAAAAGATCTTGATGTATTGCCATTTTTGCCATATCTCCCACTTCTTATTACACGGTTAGCTTACTTTGCAACAGGACTGTGGGAATTTTTACATTAAATGCCTTCAAAGCACCAGTGTCTCCAGATCTGTGTTAGGAAGGATTCACTATTCACTGTATAGCATTTTCAATATAGTGAATTGACTAGGGAATGAGTATGAACCATGAAAAACACATAATTGGGTATTCAGAGTTCAACAGTTCAGAGAACTATCACGTATTTGATTTGTCACACAAATATGCATAACGTGCAGTGTTTCTTAATGTAGTTTTCAAAGTCTTGGTGGACTGTTCTCAGTCCAGCAGTGACACTGAGGTGTTTAAAACTCCAGCAGCATTGCTGTGTCTTGTACCAGTGCAACATGCGCTAACACACCACTGACAGGTCAGTGACACTGCAGCACTGAGAATGATCCACCAACCAAATAATACCTGCTCTGTGGTGGTCCTGTGCAGGTCCTGATCAACAGGGTAAAACGGGGCTAACAAAGTATGCAGAGAAATAGATGGCCTGTAGTAATAAAATTATAAAGTGCACCTGTATGGTAAGTGGAGCTGATAAAATGCACAGTGAGTGTAGATACAAGGTGGTTTTAATGCTGCTGATCAGTGTATATTGCACTATTTTTGAAATAGGAAGTGATTCTGAATGCAGCACAGGACTTCTGTGCTTGAAGGTAGGGCTGGGCGATAAAACGATAACAATAAGTATCGCGATATAACTTTTCCTCGATAGAGCGATAAGACAGGTTTGATAAATTTTCGATATTATACACCATTCTCACACTTCCACGTTTTAGCGAAAGCCCCGGTGGCGTTTTCTACTGCAAGGAAAGCGACACTACTCTGCTGTCGCCAGGAGAGGGCGCACTTCCGGGTTTTTTGACTTGATTAGAGAGGGAGGGGGCCACGAGTAAAAAAAGGGTTGCCAAATATACTTTAGCAACATTTGAAACTCGGAGTTATACAGTCCCTGTTTGAGTGGAGCGACCGGCGATCTGTTCTCCTGTGACCCAGTGTGAGTGACGAGATCAGTGACGTAACTGTACTGTCCTACAGCGAACTCACCTCTTTCCTAACATCCTAACAACTTAAGCGGTGTTAAATCACGTCTGCAGCGCCAAACCGTCATATGTTAGTATTAGTGCATTCACGAGCAACGAAAGTGAAAGAAAGAAGTGGGTTAATGTGAGTTACAGCTGTGATTTAAACGAAAGTAAACTGAGGAAGCTGTGAGGCATTGGGAAGCGGGAGAGCGCTAGGTTAGCTTTCCAGGCTAGCTGTTTTTAGCTGCTGGCTAACTTGAAGCAGCGCTCCGGCACAACACAGTGAATTGATGATACGGTAGATCAAGCAAGACACAAAATCACCGCTCTCAGTTTAAACATACCTAAAAGGAGGACTCTGTGACTGGTGTGAGAGATTCACACTGCAGATAATGCTTTTACACAGCGAACGTCAGATATACTGCGGTTCACCCCTTAAACTACTGCGATAGCATAGAGAAACCCAGTCGTCGCTAGCTGGTGTCTGAATACTGTGATCTGCTCTGACATGGATGTGGTAGGAGTGACAGCAGTGACCTACCGAACCGAGTTGACGTTGTTGAGAAACTAAAGAGTTTAGCATTGTTGTTGGCCACTTGTTTAGCATTTGTAAGGGGGTAGCCGAGCGCTCGTCACCAGACAGCTAAAAATAATCTGTTTTCTTTCTTAAATCATGACTATTACAAAAATTGCAGCTGTGCTTTTCCAGCTGATAAAAACAGCTCAGAAACTTTCTCCCACTGTCCCAAGACAGATTAGTGAAATGTTCCACTGTTTGGTGAGTGTTTGTCATGATCCAACCATGAATGATAGTTTAAAACCACAGTTAACCACCCAGGAGCAAAATCAGCCTTCAAATGTGAAAGAAATAATGATTTGACATTTATCGCGATATGTATCCATATCGAACGATATGAATTTTGTTTATCGTGATAACGTTTTTGGCCATATCGCCCAGCTCTACTTGAAGGTTTCTAGGTGTTCTGAATAAGGCTTTCACCACCAGGGACCTGTCCTGTTATACTCTGAAATTTGATGCGAGGTCCCACGGGACTCAATGATGGGGCCTGTACTTGTCTCACTAAGACACTGTCACACTGCTCTGTACAGCACTGTGCTGATTCATTTGTCTTTTTTAAAGTTGATTCCTGAAGATTTGTCAGTCCAAAAAGAAGACATAAAATCTGTCTGTATGTTTTTTTCCCTCTCCCTTAAACAGATCAGCGAGGCCTTCCAGAAGAAAGTACAGAATAAGATCAAAGATCTTCTCCAGCAGATGGAGGAAGGGCTGAAGACTGCAGACCCCCACGACTTCTCCACCTACACAGGCTGGACAGGTGAGGGTCCCTCTGGTGGCCTCACTACCTGATTACAAGTAATGACACTCTTTGATTACACTAGACTGCAGACTACAGTTTTGATTCCATAATATTTGGTAATAAATTGTGTCAGATGCATTTGGTTCACCTTAACATTAAAATGATGGCTTGAGATGCACTGATCATTCATTTTTATGGCGGATTCAGATTTCTTCTACAGCCAAATTGGCCGATGGTCTCTGACTTTACATCTATAAGGTGAACCAACGAGATAAGTATGTGTAATGGAACGGACAGTAAGCGGACACAATGTTTAAAAACTGCTGTATTTGATCTACTCGATCACCCCATCACAACGTCACTGTCACTGCAGTGCTGAAAATTATCCACCAACCAAATAAAACCTACTCTGTAGTGGTTCTGTGGGGATCCGAGCCATTGAAGAACAGGGTAAAAGGGGGCTTACAGTCTTTACTTGTAGAATTACAAAGTGATACATGAATACAGAATGTGTACTTTATGAAGTGGCTGGGGTGTGTGTGTGTGTGTGTGTGTGTGTGTGTGTGTGTGTGTGTGTGTGTGTGTGTCTGTACGTTTATATATAGAGCTACTTTGAAATAAAGAGGCAACTGGCTATATAGCACAGTGTGTCATGTATTATAGTAATTATGCTGCTTATGCTACAAGTGTAGCTTTCAGATTCATGTGTACTTTCCTTGCTCACATTATTTACATAGTAAAATTGCAACATAGATTGGCTAAAATCAAAAGGTGCTGATTCGCTTGTTTATACCAAAAAAATCTGATCTGATCCCGATCTTGCACCCCTAATGACATAAATACATAAGTAGATATTGTAAATATAGTAGTGGTATGTGATGGTGATGCTCCAAAACCAAACATTTGGACATACTGGCCTGATGGCATTTTATTTTATTTTATTTTATTTTATTCTGTTTTTTGTCAAACAATTTCTTAAACATTGTATAACATGTAAATGTTATAGTAATTTATTTTATTTAGAATTTTGGCTTATGAATAGGAACTGCATGGTAATGAAAAAAATGACCTATTAATTAAAATTTTACTAAAAAGTCACTGAGGACCGAGAACAGAGTTCCATGGTTTTGCCTTTGATGAGTTGATATTGCTGTTTGAACATGTCAGTGCACGAGGGAACAGCATGTTTTTATCCACTATTCATAATTTTCATTCCTGCTGAAATTATACGGTGTTATATTTTGACACTTTGTTAGAAGTCTGTTTAATCTTAGAAACAGTGTAGATTTTTAGGTCAGTTTTTTCTTTTTCCTTAAATTACACTTATACTTTTTCACCTGAAAATATTTGGCAGCAGAAATTTCAGTGCATCCCCACATAGTGCTGTGACGGTGGTGGGTCATGAGTATTAAAGTGTGGGTCTGTGTGTTGTAGGGATTGCTTTGCTGTACCTGCAGCTGCATCGGGTGAGCAATGAGGCCTCTCATTTGCACCGTTCTCTCGATTACGTCAAGCGAACACTGAGGAACCTGAATGGCCGGCGCGTCACGTTCCTCTGTGGGGATGCAGGGCCGCTGGCCGTGGGTGCAGTCGTCCACCACCGGCTGAAGAACCAGGCTGACTCTAAGGAATGCATCACCAAGTACGACACTCGCCTCCTTACTCTCTTTCTCACATTTCTCCCCCTCTTTTTCACACCTCTCCTGTTACTGACTGCATTTCCCAGTCTGGACTGATATAAACTGTTCTCTTTTTGTAACTGCAGTCAGCAGTTAAAGAACGTCCCCTCATCAAGGCATGTGATAGACTTCTATACTGTGGAGTGATGTGGGATCTGAGGGATTGAATGTTATCGAGTATTTGTGTTGACATTCAGAAATCATTTATGGTCTTTTCATATTAGCCTGTCTCAGTCAGAGCCCAATAAGACCATGTCTCAGAGCTCTGTCAGCCATCCCTCACTCCCCCTCCCATCCCTCACGCCCCTGTGTCTACAGAGAGAGTGGGAAGGAAGGGGGTTGTGCTGGGAGGTGTTATTTTATTGAGCGTGACTCCGTGCTGTGCTCTGTTCTCTTTCCACTGTCAGTGTGGCACTGTAACTCTGCAGCTCTCAGCATGAGACTGATTACACATCCTCTAAATTCAAATCTCACTCAGCCACTGAAACCAAATCTCTCTCTCTCTCTCTCTCTCTCTCTCTCTCTCTCTCTTTCTCTCTGTCTCTCTCTCTTTCTTTCTCCTCTTCTCTTTTTGGTCATGTCTGTCAAACACTAGATACACACAATTTTCTTTCTTTCTCTCTTTCCCTCTCTCTCTCACTTGTATATTTCTTTTTTACTCTTTTCTCTGTTTTTCTCATGCTCTCCCTCTCTCCCTCTCACCCTCTCTATTTGTTTGTCATGTCTGTCTCTATCTAAAGAGTTCTTTCATTCCTTCATTCTCTTATTTGTTCTTTTTTCTGTCTAGTTTTTCCTTTCTTCATGTTTTGTTTCATTCTTTTTTTCTCTTTTCTCTTTTGCCTCTTTTTCCATTTTTCTCAAAATCTTTCTTTTTGTTTTCTATACATCCATCTGATTTATCCTTTCTTTCTCTCTATATTTCTTTGACATTCTCTCATTATTTTCACTTTGAACTTTGTCTTAATTTCATTCTCTCCTTTTCTTTCTCTTGTTAGTTTTTCTGCACTCTCTCCATCTCTCTGTCTTCTTTCTTTCCTTTTCTTCTTCTTCTTTCTTTTCTTTTTCTCTCCATGCTGAATATGATGCTTGCTTGTTGGCCACTTTGACTGGTTTCTTGGTTTCATGGGTTGCCCATCTGCTTAAGACCAGGCAGGGTCCTGAAACTGTCTTTCTATTTTTTTGTCATCTCTAATTATCTTTTCAGAGAGGTACCTGAACTCATTGTAACATCATTACTGCATAAGTTGCAAGTGGTTAAAGAGTTAATGATGGCCTCTTGTTTTCCGTCAGATTGCTCCAGCTCCAGCGCTCAGTTATCAGTCCAGACTCAGACATCCCAGATGAGCTGCTGTATGGACGGGCTGGATACCTCTACGCCCTGCTCTATGTCAACAAAGAGATTGGCCCAGACACAGTGGACGAGAGCACCATCTCCAAGGTAACCAGCGCTTCTGCTGCCCATACTCACTTTATTAAGGGTCAGGTCTTTTGGAAATCGCAGCCTGCATTCTTTCATACTCCCTTACATGTCACGTCATGAGAACTTTGGTGTAGTTGAATTCTCATAGCCACTCACAGTGATGTTTTGTACTGTAGGGTCATGTAGTGAAGTTTAGGGGGGGTAGCATTCTTTCCCTCCATCCTGAACTTAATACAGTGCGTTAAAGTAGCTTAGAAAGTTTCCACTCAGTGTTCCCCAGACAGTCCATTTCTTGTTCCTTAGGCAGTCCAGACATTTCAGGTTTCTTGTTCTGTTCCATGTTCCCAGCTGAGGCCTTTAATGGAGCACTGTATTGTCTGGCGTACCTAGCTCAGTCGGGAACAGGAATAGAATAAATGTACAGATGACATGAGGATCCTCAGGGATTATGTTGGAGACTTCTGTGATGAGACAGTAGACTTAAGTGTACACATGATAAGGCAGTTAATACCACTGAAGTGTTGTAGCGGATGTGCTGGGTGATGTTGGAGAGCAGAGAACGACCTAGTGCATTTTGTTTTTTAGCTAAATAAATTAATACTAGAGCAAGATAAAGCAATATTTTTTATATAAGTAACCCACACATCTTTGTTACAAATGAAAACATGAAGTGCAAATGTTACAGCTTACCCCAAAAGGAGAGTTAATTGTTGCAGACTGAGGGGCTTTTTGTAACATTCTCTGAAAAAGGCTGGTAAATTTGGTAAGTTCATGCAAACACAATTCAAATCAGTTCTTCGTTGTTTGAAGCAGATGAACATTCCAATGGAAATACATAAAAATATATGCATCAAAATAAGAATGATTAAAAGTTAATTAAAATAACACAGCAAATCAACACGATAAACTGAAATATATTTTATGTACATTACTATACTACTATGTATACTACTTTTTTGGTTAATTGTCAAATACAAAGTTCATGATATACTTTAAATACTAACCCTGTTGTGTGGAAGCTGCACTTTGCCCTGGCTAGCTCTCACTGAGAGTTGTTTATATATGTCAAAACAATACTATGCGCAAGTGATTAGTGAAAATAATATAGGTGTGAATTCAGTGTCTTGTACACACAGCTCAAGAACTGAAAAACACTCCTGATGAATAAAAGTATTTTTATGGTACAAAAAACAATCTTCATGGTGAATCTTGAGAAATGTCTCTCAGATAGCTGTGAAACAATGCAGGTGATGTTACTATAGTAATACGAGAAGGTGGCCAGATTAAGACTTGTCTTAAATCTGTGTAGCAATTATAAAAACCCTGTTACATGATATTCTGCATTATGTTTTGAGAGATCACGAATAGAATTGAAACAACAGCCACAGAAACTGTCCAGTGTTTTAATTACGAAGACACCCACTCATGCATCATTGTAAGTTTTAAAGGAGTGTGATGGAAAGTGTTATTTCATTACAGCCTTATGCCAGAGACCTGAAATGCACAGCACAACACCACTAGCTGTATCTGTTTAGTGTTCAGATAGACTTGTATTCATGTTGGGGATGTGAATTCCAGCTAGAGCTTTAATCTGACCTGAAATACAGCCCAAGAATTTTCTGTACGACATAACCTGACACACATCATCGTGTTCTGAGTTCAAACCCGACCAGAGCCACACAAAATTCACTGCGAACCCAAGCCGACCTGAACCACATTATCATGTTTAGAGTCCAAAACTGACCTAAATATAACAAAATTCTCTTTGAAACTAATCTGAACTGGCTCGTCATCACCCAAGGTGCTGAATAAAACCTGACCGGACAGCGCCGGTTACCATGTAGAGACGTTAATAGCCGTCATTAGGGTGTGGATAAATAAAATGTAAAACAGTATAAAATGACGTGCAATAATAAAATAATCACCTGCTCAAAATTAAGTTTAATTCTTCTTTAAAAATGTATTCTTCAAATAATGCTTTTGAACAACATTCCTGAGTTCTTCAGTCTGGATCACTTTTCCATAACATGCTATTCTCTGGCTGCACAGTGCTGAATTAGCGAAATGTTAACCTTCTCTTTAGTCCTAAAACTTCATGTCTGCACTTAGAACATGTTACATGTAGCAAGTAACATATTGAACATACAACATAAAAATATTTTGGCCTAAGAAATTAAACGTCTTTTTGGCCGTACTAAACTGTACTTTCCTGAATCAGTTCACTGTTTATGTCCTGTTTTTTCACGAGTGTGGGCTTTGGGAACTCTGGCTCTGAATAAGTGACATGCCAGATTACAAACTGATTTACAGAAGTGAAAGTAGTGAAGTGTGCATAAGAGTTAATAAATGGATATCCAGTTAACTGCAGGGAAGGAAAAAGCAACAACAAAAAGTAGAACAAAAAAGCTGTAAGTGTACTATTCAGATGGTAGCACAGAGGTTAAATTTTGAAAACACGTTTTATTATTCAAAAATAGCCGAGGAAAATCAGTAGGATTTTGTGTCGGGTGAGTAATGGAGGCCTCTTCAGATGAGCTAATGAGCTAACACTAACTGTGTTCTGGTTCATTTAATGCAGAAAGATAGGATTATTTTGGAGACTAAAAAGGCCATGTGTAGGTCTAGATAGCAGAGAAAAGGACAAGTGAATGCAGTGTGGGTCTAAAAAGAAAGTATGTTACAGGTTGTTTGCAATGGATCAAAGCTTTCAGAGGATACCTATGCAGTTGAAAAAAATGTGCTATTATTCTTTATGTCTGTTTAAAATTGCACAGTTTGTCCTGAATATGTATGTGTGGTATGTTTGGTTACAACACACTAGCACATACATAGGTTCACATGCAGCCACACATATTATTATTTTTTTCTCTCTCTCTGTTGCTTTACTTCGGAGCCACAGAGCCTATTTTTAGTACAGTGTCCAGAGTGAGCAGACTAGCAGAGTGCCATGAGCCAGCCAACGCCCTCTCAGAGCCTGGAGCAAAAAAAAACTGAGATAGGATGCCCCTAGAGAGCAGTAGAGACAGTGATAGGAACTGAACCTGCTAAGAAACATTCCGACTCATGTATACGAGCAGTTGTCAGAATATATTTTTCAATGGAATTAACTGGATTTTTGCATGAATTAATGAATAATTTCTAAAATATGATCCAATCCATCCTAATGTAATGGACACTCTGATTTAATGAATAACACATTTTACAGCACCATCTCTTTATTGAATTAGTGGTTTACTATGAACAAAATGGTTCTTTGAGTGCTCATAGTTCTACATAGAACCATTATCTTTGCTAAAGAACCCTTGAAGAGCTTTTTTAAATATTGTATATTTACCAAGCTGTTGAAATGTCTCCTTAGTCCATAATACATCCATATGGTTTTCTTCTTGCCTGTAGATCCTTATGTGTCACTAGAGTTTATACATAGATTAAATTTTTAAGGATTCTCCAGCCTCTGAACTGAAATTCCTAAGATGCAGACTGTACATTTCTTCCATATATAAACTCTGGGTCAGTTTCATTTTGTAACCTTTTCCAGTCTTGTGAGCTTCAGATGCTTCTTCTTGAAGCCCTTTAGAATCATTTTAATTGTGAGGTATTGCTCTTGAACAGAGTTAGAGTTGTAAAGAGCAAATAACTGAAATTGGCAAGTCAATGATACACTTGCCTACAAATACCCTCTCTTTAAGTCATCATACTAGAATATTACATCATTTGATCAAAGATTTTTTATTGTTTAAACAATTTGTTTGATAAAGAAATATTAGAAATTCAGATAAATCGGAACAGTTCACAGCCTAAATGTTTTCCTTATTGTACATTTTACATTTTATGAGCAGAGTTTTGCTTGGAAACACTTAAGCTGGAACACTTTTTGAATTGTGCATATACAAAGGTTGCAGTCTATTGAGTCACTTGTAGTCACTTGGTACAAAACCTTGTGTCTCTATTTTTCCCCTATTTCTATTTTTTATGCCATGTGAACTTGCTAGCTGTCCCTTGTATTGAATAGTTTATGATGAATGGACCGGTGGAAATGGGCCAGAGTGACTTGGATTCTAACGTGTTTCCATTAACTTAATTTTTTATATACGAACGATTTCACTTCAGCCTTAAAGTTACCCATTTGGAGATACAAAGTTTTATTAAGACACTGTTGACATAAAGAACATAAAGGTAACTTCCTCCCATTTGTACAGCAGTGCTGATGGGTTTCTCTCCAGCTTTTTTATATTGATTTCTTTATGTTTGTTGTTTAGTATACCTTTGGCCATGAGTGCAGTTACACTGTATACATCTGACTTGGGTACATAATTGGATTGTTTTTTCGACGTTGAGAACTCCACATCCAGTATAAGAGAGGACATTATGGACATTGAAGGACATTATGAAATGTTGATGCAGTTCTGGATCAGCATGTTCTTCAATTCCTTTCTGTTTAGTTTCACTTCTTTGGACTTTTGGAATAATGTTGAGGCAAGATGTTTTAACTGAGGAAAAGCTGTGTCTGCTCTTTCAGTTTTCTGCTCGGAAGCAGCTACAAAAACTGTTTGTAGACTGAAAAGATGCTTTGACAAGTTTATTTTTGGTCTGTCTGCGTATTACAGTGTTGAGAAATGTACTTTAGATGTTGAGTACAGATGGGTGGGTGTCAATTAAATCAGAATTCATGAACCACCTCCATGCTGACTTTTTGGCATGGTTTTAAGAAGGTTTGTGCTGCTCAAATGCTGCAGATTGCAAGTTCACAAAATGTGTTGTTATTTAGTATCCCTTTTGTAGGATATGAATTTATGTAGTTGAGGGTGAGGCTCCAGTGACCCTGACTGATCTTTTGCGTACTCTGTAATATGAACAGATGTTAAAGCTAAATTGTGTCAGGTAACAGACACCAGGGCCATAACCTGCACAAATTGACTTCTTAGAGCATTCTCGGGTAGCCTTTCCCCTCAGTTGTACTGCCATGCCGTGCCATAATAATGCTTGTAATCAGGATATCACCATTAATATTAATGAAGTGAGTGAATTCCACAGTGTTAGATCAGGACAAATCATCTTCCTGTTGGGACTGAATGCTCTTGTTCACAATGGGGGACTTATAGCACTCAGTGGTTCAGATTCTTTCACATAGTGCATAACTTTTGATGTCTTTTTCTGTTTGTATAAGCTGCTAATGTATTATTGTCCAGGGAAATATTTATATTGCAGTCTTAATTAAAAGCACAGCCTGTGGGCACAATAATAGAAACTGCATACAATACAGAATCTATTTTAGCATAAAACCTGCAGCCTTTTAGTTAGTAGTCAGTAGCCCTAATAGCCCTAATCACTGACCTTTGTACTGTTGAAAAATGTGCATGTGTGTAGTCGGGATATAATCAAAAAATGTTCAGAATGAACAGTCAGTGCCTTCTAAAGGGATACGAATGTATGTATTATGTATGTATCTTTCTAAATTGTTAGAAGTTCTTTTTTGGAAATTACTTCCAGTACCACCTATATCTAGCAGAGATGACACAATACCACTTCATTTTCTCATACCAGTATCAAAACCTTGAGTATTAGCTGACACCGATCCGGGTCCAATATTTTTTTCTTTCGAAGGTGCTTAAAATGAGCTGTTTTTAATTGAAGCACTTCACTTAAGATGAGCATCTAAATGTAGGCTATCCTGATACCTATCACTAATGATATGCCATCTCCATAGCTAAGGTATTTTGGCTCGTTCTTCTAAATGAAACCGCTTCAGTTGGTGTGTATTTTTGGATTGTCCTGCTTAAACAGCCCTTATCAGATCACTTTACAGCAACAGGACTGAGGTCAGGAGTCTGACTCGGCCATTCTAAATTACAGAATTTCTCCTGTTTCAATCATTATGTTGTTGATTTACTCCTCTGTTCTGGATCATTATCATGTTGCATGATACAGCTTCTGTTAAGTTTTAGATCACAGACAGACAGCTTGATTCTGTATAGGGTCTATAAGGGACCCTATAAAAATATTTTGTGTGCTAAATATTAAGGTGCTCACAAATGTGCTGTTTTTGGGGCTGCTCTCGCAGAATTTGGTAAATCGAGAAATAAATGCTACCTGTATGCTAGTCTGAGACTGTGTAGTCATGCTAGATTGTGTCGGATGTTACTTTGCTACTCGGCTTTTGTGATCCAGGTTAAGGATTTGACTCACTACACAGTCTTACTGCCACAATATCCAGTGACACTGATAATATTATTTCACTAATTTTGCAAGTTTGCCATTTAACTCTTGAATTCACTCTTTTTAAATGGTAAGAATGTATTAGAATGTATGAGATTTTACTTGCAGTTTAGGTTTTTTTAACATTTACTGTTAAGCAGCTCGTTAAAATACTTTTTTAAACAAGTGCCATGACCTCATAGTGAACCCACATCAAGCTTGACCCTCATAATGGTAGTGCTTCAGCAAAACTGCATTATTATTATTATTATTATTATTAGTTTTATTATTATTATTACTACACGTTCTATATACTTGAATAAAAAAAACTTAACTGGTTGCTCGACAGAAATGTCCTGTCATAAGTTGCCCCTGTTGTTTAAACCTAATGGCGCTCAGCAGTGCCACTTTATGGTTTTAGGTTTTGTATTTCATGTGTTATTATTTTTTTGTTTTATCTGTTTTAGATTACATTAGTCGAGATTTTTTAATTTGGTTATTCACGAGCAGTGATAATTCAACATCGCACAAGCCTATTTGCTACCTTGAAAAATTATTGCTTTAACAGGACACAGATATCGAATCGATACTCCGTATTGGCCAACACTCTAAGGTCTGGAGAGAGATGATATAGTGTGGTGGAAATTCTAATAATAAGTTGGAGACCTCAGGAGATAATCAAAGATTTATTGGAGAAGAACACCGCGGGGAGCTGTCAGCTGAGGCTCTGAAGCTCCTTGAACACAAACAGCACTGATTATATATACATTCACAAAGAGCTTGCTCAGACAGGTGCTTCCTGTTATGGTTTCTAAGTGATGATGACATATCTCTAAGCAGAGACAAACAGTCAAGCTATTTCAAAGAAGGAGAATGACACAAACAATCAAGGCATCATTTCAGAGAAGGAGGGTAACACATTTTTAACCAGGGATAACCAGTTCGAAGAAAGGTGACAAGCTACATATGTTTAACATAGAGGTGAGGTGTCAATACTTGATTCGTATGGGCGAGACCATGATGTACTAGAACACATCCAGGTGCGTTTGACTCACAAGAAACACAAGAAAAAGCACTTACATATCATTTTCCATTACAATAGCGTTGGTGTATCTCTACTTTAAGGCTAATCTACACTGTTTCCATTCCATAGCTGTCCAGCCCACTGCTTGAAACGAGAGAAAGAGCCTCTTTCATGACAATTACTCAATGCTTTCAGTCATTTTTATCCTATTGTTTACTTTTATTTATCCTCTCTTTTGTATTTCTTAAAGTCATTTCCTTTAGTATTTTCCTCTCTTTGCTTCCCTGTGTTCTCTGTGGCTCAGCAGTGCTTCCTGGATGACAAAGCTGTTTGATGGGTTAATTCTTCAGTGCTGCACTATGCTTTACTGTTGCCATCTCGATTCCTGGCAGACCAGCATGTTGTGGAAGCATGTCATGTTCCATTTCATCATTCATGCATAAACTAGCAGGCAGCAGATAAGCTTACTGTACCTCGGACTCAGAGGAAAGCTGTAACTGTCAGGATAGGGACTCTAGTGTGTAGTGCACTGGTCAGGTGATGTTCAAGGGGAGTGCTACTGCTGGTTAAAAAAACAGTATTTGCTACTGCTGGTTAAAAAAGTGATGTGTATTTCTGATTATTAAATCATAAAAATCTTGCTTTGAATTCGTGTGACAGTGAGGGACATTTTATGGCTGTTAATTTCAAACAGTCCATTAGGTTTTCCCATCTGCTCGAGCAGGTGGAATGTGTATACTCTCCAACATTACTGTGGTTTAAATGAACACTTAAACATTATTTTTTTGCAGTGCAGGGTTGCCAGATCTCACACTTTATGGGTCTTTTCTCAAGCTGTAATGTTGTGCAAAGAAATCTGAAGCTAGTTAATAGCCGACCAACACTGAACAAACTTGCAAGTGACTAATTTTGTTCTTTCTGCGTGATGACATTTGATTGGGTCATATCAGCACATGTTGAGATAATATCGGCTTAGTCTTTTTCCATCTTTTTGATCTGAGTTCATTCGTAAGAGTGAAGGGGAAAAAAAGTGGCACAAAAATACAATTAAGTTTTTGGCTGAAATTAATGTGGAGCTGAGGTTTCCCTTTTTAGGTGACAGCACTGTTGTTAGACAAAAATTAAGCAGCATGCAGGGGAGTACACTTTAAAAACTGTTTTATTATTTAATAAATAGCCAAGGGAATCAGTAGGTTTTCATGTCCATTGAGTGGCATAGCAGAAACGGCCTCATATGAGGTAATGAGCTAAAACTACAGCTAACCTGTACAACACTGGATGCTGATAGAGACTCTTCTTCTGCTTTCAGTTTTTTTTTCCTTTTTAGTTTATGGTGTGAGAGTGTGTTAGTTTCTGTTAGTTTCTGAACCCAGCATTCGTCTAGTGTTAGCAAACTGTAACATACTCAAAAATGCAAGCAAAACGTTTACGTTTTATGGTTCTGTTAAAACATAAAATCAACGTTTCACTGAAATTATTTGTCATATTCCTGTGACGAAAACTCTGTTTCTTTTTAACTTTATCTTCTTGTCATCTGTCGCCAGGATAATTGTAATTTCTCTAATACAGTAGTAAAAAAGGTCCATTACAAATTACAACATCATTTCTCCCAAACTTCAGTGGGATTATTTATTTTCTTCCTGAAAAAGTATCTTGTTTGTTGTTACTTCTAATGTACTTTCTGAAACAAAAAACAGTACAAATCTGTACCAATTTCCAATTGGAAAGTAAAAGGGTAAAATCATTTCAGTACTTTATGCACAGAAAGATCCAATCATAGTAAACATCATGTCACTATCCCTGTCTTTGCTCTGTGGATCAGCTCGAACTGGTTTGAGAACCACAGGTCTACATACTAAAGAACATGAACTGTGGTTCAAATTAGTGTTTGAAATAGTGTAATCATAGATACACACTTGAGCCTGCAAAAAGTCTCACTCCAGTCACCTGAAAATCTCATTCCAGTCTCAGCCCAGCAACCTGAAAATCACACTCCAGTCTCACTCCAGCATCCTGAAAATCACACTCCAGTCTCACTCCAGCATCCTGAAAATCTCACCCAGTCATCTGAAAATATCACTCCAGTCTCACTCCAGCAAACCTGAAAATCTCACTCCAGTCTCATTCCATTCATCTGAAAATCTCACTCCAGCCTCACTCCAGCCACCTTAAAATCTCACTCCAGTTTCATTCCACTCATCTGAAAATCTCACTTCAGTTTCATTCCACTCATCTGAAAATCTCACTTCAGTTTCATTCCAGTCACATGAAAAATCTTTTTTTTTTAGCTTTTACATTAACTGTGATTATTATTCATTTTGTTGCCATAGTTGCCTAAATGATTTCCTCTGGGTGCTCTGATCCTTCTAGGTGGTGACGGCCATTTTGGAGTCAGGGAAGAACCTGTCCAAAGAAGAGAAGAAGACGGAGCGCTGTCCGCTGCTTTATGAGTGGCATAAGAAGCAGTATGTGGGAGCAGCGCATGGACTGGCTGGTATCTACTACATGCTGATGCAGGTGAGGAGCAGGCTTGTGGGTCATTGTTGCTAGATTTAGACACACTCATCTCTCACTTTGGCACGGACGTGCTGCAACTAATTAAATCATCAAACTTGATTTGCGTGTCCCTCTTTACCCTGATCTTAATTAGTAGCTGATTAAGAATGAGAAATGTTTGCACTCACACACGCACATAAAGACCCTCCAAGGTAAAATTTGAGTATCACTTACCCTTTTGAAATCCAGCACTGCCCTACTTCTGTAATTCAGTAAGAGTGTGAGTGTGTCTGTCTCAAGCTGAACTTTAGCATTTAATTGCCTCAGTGAAGTGATTAATGGTCATGAGAGGCTGCTCTTTTGGTGGTCTTAGCCTCAGTGAAACAGTAGCAGTTAAACAGGAGCCTGTAATTAGAGCAGAAGGACCGAAGTGTAGCAGTAATAGTCCAGTGTAGAGCGAGGATCTAAAGTGATTGCTCATGCTAATGATACACAAAATTGAAATATTGTTAGAAATGCCCTTTGGAAAAGTTATTTTAGTCCCTATGTTCCTCATAGCAGATAAACTACTGATCAAAAGTTTCAAATGAACGTTTTCAATGAAGTTAAAGCAAGTTTTGGCAGAAAAAATTATAAAATGATTCCAGTAAGTTGGTCTCATGCAATTTCACATTGTGTGTATTATTCATATTGTGCATAATTCATATAATAATGAATATGATCATGCATAATTATGTATGCAGTGCAGTTTTTCTGTAGGAGCTTGCATTGATATATTTTCTTCACATCTCTACAATTTTATGTGCTTGTATACTGTAGGCAATATGACTATATAATTTTGTGATAAATGATGTCACATTACATATTTTTGCTGATAATATTGTAGATATCATCAGTATTTAAAGAAGACTGTTGCAACAGCATGTTTCATTACAAAGAGAGCATAATTAGTCTTGTTTAATTGAATTTAGTGTGGAACATTATGTGATACGTTTGCAGGTATAGTTTTATATAGCAGTTTTTAAATTTGTCACTGCTGGTTCTTTTTGTCTGTTCCAGTGTATCAGACCTCAGAAAAACGAAATATCGTAATACATTGTGTATCTTGAAAATGCGTTAAAGCGTCATGATGTTATATTTTTGTTATATCGCCCACTCCTATTTCAGGAGAACACTGCAGTTCTCTTAGGTTTACATTCAATTATGAATGTAGTGCAGAATTCAAAGTAAATGCCTGTTTTGATAATTCCAATGCAGTCTGCCGTTATGCTCTGTCTAAGCTCCCAGCACAGCTGCAGGAGGTAATTGGTTGTTTTTTATTACATTGTTCCTGAGCAATGGATTGAGAAACTGGGCTCTATTTTGTTATTGCCTCCTGAGCGAGCTTATAAAAACACACAGGTTTAATGTAGAATGCTGTGTAAACTACAGTGAATAAATGATGTTTTTCACGCAGTCTGTTTAAAAACACTACTTTATGGTCTGTAGGATTTGGAAATGGGGTAAACTCGCCATAAATCATCATCCAGATTTAATGGAGAACCCTGAGAGCTGGTGAATAATTAATGGAGAACTTTTAAGATATTGAACTTAAAATTTTCATAAGAGACTGCGGAGCCTCACTCTGTTGGCCAGCAGCCCAGAGTGACCCGCTGAACACTTTCCTGTTTCCCAAAATATGTTGTTCCCACTCACAAAATGCAGAATTTAGACTGAGAAAATGCAGTTTTGTTTTTGCTTTAAGAGTTTAGTGGAGGTAAGGTCACTTATGCACTGCAGTACTGCTGTAATTAACTGATTAACTGCATAAAGAGTGAACTTCAGTATGCATTCACTTTGTCATACTGACTTGATTAATTGTGTTTATCAGGCTGACAGCATGTCTGTTTTACCAGCTCTCCTGTTTATTAGGAATGAGGAAGAGGAAGTAACTATTACTCATCCAAAAAAAAGTTAGCTTGTTTGCACATGGTCATTTTAGTGTAGTTTCAGCACTGATCACATCATGATCACAACCAACTTGGCTAGGGACGCACCAAACATGAAATTTCATAGCCGATTCCAATTTCTTTGCAGATGAATTGGCTGATTGTCAGTATTTTGGGCAGATGTTTATTACAATCCCAAGTCCAAAAAGTTGGGGCAGTATGTGAAATGAAAAGAAACCCACTTTGACCTGTATTTAAGCAAAAGCAGAACAAAGACCAGATATTTTAATCTTTTATTGAATCAACTTACTTTTTAAATTAATGTTACTTTTTTTTGGTAAATATATGCTCATTCTGAAATTGACGCCTGCAACACGTTCCGAACATTTTGGGACAGGGGCCATTTAAGACTAGAAATGTTGTTAAGTGTTCAAAAAACATTTTAAAAGAAGTGTTGTAATCATGCTTGGGTATAAAAGGAGCATAAAGGAAAGACCAAGTCCTTTATAAGCAAGGATGGTTTCGAGGCCATCTACTAAAAACTTCATCAGCAAATAATCCAACAATTTAAGAACAATGTTCCTCGGCAAGAGATTGCAAGGATTTTGGGTATGTCACCTAGGGCTTGACTGATTATTGGCTTGACTGATAATCAAAGCCAATATTCAGCATTTTTGTAATTATTTGAATCAGCATATAGACTTGGGTCCTTGGCTTTAAAAGCGCCTTTTGTTATTTATGCACATATCTGATGCAACTGCCATCAACAAAACACATTTCTGTAGTCTGGCCCAGTCCCACCAACAGTGTTACTGGATTGCTTGAAATGTGGATGACTCATCGAGGACAACCAGCCAGCATTTCTGTACCTCTGTAGTTTGTGTCCGTGTCCCGCCCTGTGTCGAGTAAATCCAATCTAACATGCTGTTCCGTTTTCTGAGAGATGTGGGATCGACCAAAGAAGTGCCTACTTTGCTCCCACAGCGAGAGGAAAAAGTATGGGTGATGCATCATTTCTGGTCATTCCTTTTCCATTTTCTCTCGTTAAAAGTACTGACAGCTCGGCGCCTCCAAAGATTTCACCTCTCTGCTGCTTTTCCGAGAGAGATGCTCAAAATTAAGTGTTAACAAGTTGAGCAAAACTGTTTAGCTTAAAGATTTCTTTTCAGGTGGTGTATAAAATGGAATGAAAAAGTGAAATGTTATTAATGCTTTATATTCATTTTGATATCCATGCTGGATGAGTGCTGGGCTATACTGGCTCCCATGCTTTTAAAATTATAGTTTGCAGTACCACTCAGTACAATCAAACTTGCTGCCTGCCTGCTTTCATTTAAAATGTCTGCCAGTGACCAATTGAAGGCTGTCCAAGTGATGTGGAGGTATTTTATTATCGCTGGTGTGCGCACAGGGTTAGGAGCAGAAATTGGTCAGTTCTGATTCTGGGAGGTTTCTGATCTAGCACTCTTAAATCTGGATGTAATATGTGGGGTCAGCAGTAGAAGGTGTAAGCAGTAGTGTATAAGCTTTGTACAGTCTTCAAAAGAGTTGTAAGTTGACCGCTCTGTTAGCTTACACAGATTCCATCCTATTTCTGTATTATCCTCTGTGCTTCTCCCATTGAGAATTAATCCCTTTCTGTAATGGATTTCCCTGCAATCTTGTACTGCTGTACATGCAGTTTGCTTCATAACTCTTTTCAACCCCCCTTTGTAAATCGAGAGCAAAGAACGCTAAAGTAGTTTATCTCTTATCCGTTGTAATATAGTCCACCTCTGGGCTTGTGTGTGTGTGCCTGAAATGGTCTGTTCTGCAAAGGTCACACTAACGTGAGTGTAGCACTCTGACCTCTGCTGTGTGGCTGACCATTCACAGCTTTACCCTTCGGGCTTTGGTTTGTAGTTTGGTTTAATGGAGCTTTTCACATGGAGCTGCCTCAGTGTAATGTGTGGCTATGTTTGAGCTGACTCAGAGACTAGAGCAGAAACCCTCTGTGTCGTATAGCAGAGGGAGGGTGGCGGTAGGCTGGGTTGGGACATTAATTGGCAGGCAGATGATATAATGATGGTGTGTGTGGGTGTGTGCGTGTTGTCGTGTGGGAGAGTGAAAACATAATGAGGTGATTAAGCAGCATGTGAAATAGGTGTGCTGTTGTGTTCAGTGGAGGGCGAGTGTGCTGATATGTGTGTGTGTGTGTGTGTTACTGTGCTGTGTTTGCATGTTGTTAATGAGGCTCTACCACAGAGAGGATACTCAAATTTAACCCATTCTTTTGGAATAAATACAGCACCTAAGCTCATTGTTTAAAACCATTACCGTCTCAGCAGTGAAAAGACCATATAACATTAGAATAAATGCAAATAAACACAAATACAGTAAAAAGTAACAAGACTTTCTTAGTTTTTAAACTGTAGCTGATATTTTGTGAAGTAGTTGGAGGAACAAATTTTGGTTCCCGATTTATCCTGTACCTCAGCCATCACACAGATTTATTAAGTTCCCTCAAAAGCACTTTTGATTTAACATAATGAAGTATTGATGAGCCAAACTAGGTGTTGGATGATAACTTCAAATAATATTGGTCTTCCAGAAAGAGGAGTTTGACATACATAAAATCACTGCTTAGTGTTTTAATATTATTTTTAATTCTAATATAGATAGATAATTCTAATATAGTGTTTTGTTGTTTTTGTTTTTTTTTGTTTTTTTTTACTGAGCACTTATTGCCCACATAAACAGCCTTGTAAATCTAATTCAGGTGTCTAAAATTATTGCATAGTGTGCTATATGTGTAGGGCTGTCAGTGTTAGCACACTTATAATAGTAGTAATAATAATAATAATAATAATAATAATAATGTCAATTAATTATGCTTCATTGTTATAATCATTAGCGGCCCTAATATAAATAGCAGTATGATCAGTAGTATGATCACCCTTTTGTAATTTCCAGTCAAAAATGGCCATTAAGTACAAGTCATTCATTTTTCAGTGTCGGGAAACAAGATGAAAACATAAATTTAAAAGAAGAAGAATTCTGCAACACCAATATAAAATTAAATCTATTAACATTTATTTAGTCCACTCTTTACTTTTGTGCACCCTATTGTCACTTTAACTGTTTCACCCTTCTAATCTTAAAACCAGTTACAGCTGTGTCCCCCCAACAAAAGCTGTTCAAAAATGACTCACTGACATTATCTTCCCCTTCAAAGAGACACTTAACATTCACGCAAACACACCTTACCTTTCTTTTATCATGTGCATCTAAAATGTCTACAAGAGACATTTCTGGGGAGATTAGGTATAATATAAGAAAAGTAGATTCCAGTTTTCACTGGAGCGAAAATGAGACTCTTAACAATCGTGCATGACCTGGTAGACCACATAAAAAAAATAATATACACACACACACACACACACACACACACACACATATCTATCTATCTATCTATCCATATATATATATATATATATATATAGAAGGAGGGGTTCCTCTTGTTATATATATATTAATGGGTTAAATTTCAGTCTTTTCTCTTTTTTCCATTTAGGTCCCTCCTTTTCTCTCTGTCCCCCTCCTCTTCTATCCCTTTGGCCTGTACAGTCCTGCATCCTCTGCAACCAATAATCAATGAAGTCTTGCTCACATATAGGAGGAATTCAGCTGCTTCAGCTTTTGCTCACACTGGTGAATTGTTGGCCATTATCAATAAGGCAGTCTACCTACATTTAGCTCCCCTGACCATGCCATTTATTCACAAATAACGCCTCACGAGTGAACTGTCTCCGGAATGTGTCCAAAGCTGGAGATGAATTATTGATAAGGGGCTAAATTGTTATGCTTGGAATAGGTCCCGGTGACGCCTCCCATAATGGTAGTAAAGTGGAGAAAGGCGGGCGGGATAGACACAACCACACACACCTCGCAAAGACCCTGCAAGAAGATTGGGTGTGGCTCATTTGCAGTTGCTAAGGCGATAGGGCTGTGCGTCATGGTGACGCAGAAGGACACGGTCCACTGATCATAATAATGCACTGTGCGGTCTTTATAATGGGACTGGGAGTGTATGTGTGTTTGTGCGGTTGTATGAGATGTTAGATTCAGCCTCTTCGCTTATTCAGCTGAAACCCAAACAGCAATGCATTGAGTTCAGCACCAGCAAAGTGGCGGAGAGGCAGAAAGTAGTGCCTAAACGTGCAGCAGCAGGACCAGGGCAGACAGCCCTAACAGCAGCAGATGCGGCACTGAACGTTATTGTAGCAGCTGCTGTATCAGCCACATTAAAAGCAGCTGTTCCGGGATTAGGAACGCTACCGCTGCTTGTGACAGCAGCATCAATAACATTGCTGTCATTTGAGAGGCTCACTCTAAAAGCCAGTGTTATCATTGTTGCTTTGGAAACCGATAAACCTGATTCACAACATATACGTTCACTCAGTAATAGCTGTTTGAATAGGAGAGGGTTTATTGTAACTAGGGCCGTTACTTGATAAGTGTGGGCAATTTTGATAAAAACATAACATGATTGTATTTGCAGGCATATGCACGATTTGAATGACACTTATTGTGCTTTTAAAAGTACTATTAAAATGAATTTTTATTCAACATTTCTCAGACTAAGTCCAGTTAATCAGGATTGATTATGCTCTTTGTACTGAAACATGCAGTTGGTCAGAGTTCTTTAAAGCTGCACTATGTAAGATTTTTGATAAAACTGAAAGAATTAGCGTTAGTGTAGCGTTAGTCACCATACGAACTGGTATTATTTGGTTTGTGGGTCATTCTCAGCACTGCAGTGACATTGATATGAAGGCAGCGTGTTCGTGTGCGTTGTGCTGGTATGAGTGGATCAGACACAGCAGTGCTGCTGGAGTTTTTGACTGAGTTGTCTTTGAATACTCTTTCAACATGCTCACAAACATCAGATTCATCTGCTCAGTGAAGGGGTCCAAAGCTCAGCTGATGCTACAGAACATTCTTCATTTTTGCCAGAGAGGTCTCCAAATCTCCAGATCTTACATGGTGTAGCTTTAGGTACTGATAATGTCTATAATATGTTCAAAAAACATTTATTCTGTTGTAATTTATTTGGGTGAAGTCTTTTAAAAGGTTTTCTAGCTCAATTTTTTTGTAATTTTTGAAAGGCTCTGCATGATTTGAGAGTTTATTCAAATAATGGCGTTTTTATTATATAACCTGCTTTAAAACTCTTTTTTAATTGTCAAAATAACTGTCATAATAATTATTAATATAATAAATAATGGCATCACTAAAGGTGACTGGCACTAATGTGAGCAGTAGCGGTGCTGCTGCAAATATAAATGGCAGGTTTTCTATGCTGTATGTGGTGCTAGCAGCCCACTGAAAATGATGGCTGCTGCTTTCCACAAGATACGCTCCTTGCTCTCCTCACACCTCCGGCTGCTAACAGCAGTATCCCGTCTAGCTCAGTGGGAGCCTTCAGCAGGGTATCAGACCCAAACCTGAATATGTTCCTAATTAGTATGATTCCCTCCCCCCAGCTGCATAACCAGTGCTGCACTGGGAAGTAGCAGTGTGGAAAGTAGTACATGTGAAAGCTGGGCTTTTGGGTTGAGTAGCAGCTGTGCTGTTTGTTGTCCCCGAGGAGGCTGTTGGCTTCAGTCTCATCTTGTTCTGGCCTTCATTATCCCAGACTGGAGGTGCTGATGGAAACTGGCTGTAAATGAGTTGAGAAGAAGTGAGGGGAAAATCAATATGTCTGAAATGCATGTCTAAAATTTTCCACACAGTTTTAACAGATTAAGTCTTAAGAAAGATTTTCACATCTTTTTAACACTGTATTGTACATGTGCAAACACTCACATGATGTCATGTGACTAATGACTAATGGGTAAAGTCATCCAGGTAAAGCAGAAAGGCCACCAAAATTCAGTCTCTGCTCCCATTTTTGCTTTTCTACAACTAGCCATGCTGGTTCATGGGATGAGTTGTTTGAAATCAGGTGAGAAGAAGTCATTGAGGTGCAAGTAAACAGTAGGTCTCATATCTTGACACTTAGGACCAAAGTGAATACAGACAAGCCCCAAGTCCTGAACTTTGAGTATTAATTAAGTCAGAATGCATTCCTCACCGCATTAAATGCCATTTCAACATTTAACGCTGACAAAGTTTATATTACTTTTTAAATAACGCTTTTTTTAAAACAACTCCGACACTAATTTCTGACCAGGGAGACTGAAAGAATTTTGCTCCTAACAAACATTCAAGAAATGTCCAATTTATTATTTTTATTTTGGCTGATCTGTGTGGCAGTTTTGTGATGTAAATAAATATGAGTTAGGTAAGTGCACTCATTCTGTATTTAAATGTGGCTACTACTCTTATAACAAAATGTCATAGCATAATTATGCATGACTCATTGTGCTAAACAGCCAGTGGCCTCTTACTTGCAATGTAGCTCTTTATTTGATTTCAGGTTTGTTAAAAAGGCTGCTGAGTTTTTGTGCTAGAATATGCAAATAATATTATTCATGTTGTGACTTTTGCTGATAGAAAGCACTGGAAATGTATTTTTGTGTGTGTGTGTATATATATATATATATATATATATATATATATATATGTATGTAGGATACATTTGTAGCTAACATTTCTCTATATCACTCTCTGTCTCTCTCTCTCTGTCTCTCTCTCTCTGTCTCTCTCTCCCTCTCCACCTCACCTCCCTGTAGCCCTCAGCTAAGGTGAACCCCGATATTCTGACTGAATTGGTCCGGCCAAGTATAGATTACGTACGGCACAAAAAATTCCGCTCAGGCAATTACCCATCATCCCTCAGCAATGAGACAGACAGGCTTGTGCACTGGTGTCACGGAGCACCGGGTGTGGTTCACATGCTCATCATGGCACATAAGGTAAGTGACAGGTAGAACACAAACAACCACGTGTGCGCTGTCCTGTTCCATCATTACCTCACCGTTTATTTCAGTTCGGATGCTCTCAGCAGAGTCTCGAGTGTGAAATGTAAAGTGCTGAGAGTGTTCAGGTATTCAGTAACGAGCTCCTCAGTGAGACCTGCTGGGTAACCTATATAATTTTCAAATTATCTGTGAGTGGAAATTCTGTCTCTCATCTCTGTCTGTCACAGAGAACTTGGCAGTGCTGTGTTTGCAATGCATCCTAATGATGAATATCAGCACCGAGCACAGGGAGCTAATCAAAATGATTGATGAACACAAAGATCTTATCATTAAGATTGATGATCGGCCGTGAGCGGAGTGGATTCAGACTGTAATGTAATAAAGCACATTCACTTCCCACAGCTGTAGATCACACAAGGTCAGACCACCTCCTCCTGAATATCTCTCTCTCTCTCTCTCTCTCTTTCTTTCTTTCTTTCTTTCTTTCTATTTTTCTTTCTGTCTGTCTCTCTCTCTGCCCCTCTTTCTTTCTTTTTCTTTCTTTCTGTCTCTCTGTCCCTTTCTTTCTTTCTATCTAGCTATCTGTCTGTCTGTCTGTTTGTCTCTCTGTCCCTCTATTTTTCTTTCTTTTCTCTTTCTTTCTTTCTTTCTGTCTCTCTCTGTCCCTCTCTTTCTTTCCTTCTTTCTTGCTTTTTCTTTTTCTGTATCTCTCTTTGTTTACTTCTCTTTCTCCCTCATTCTCTGAATTCTCCATCTCTTGCATGCTTTTTCTTTCTTTCTTTCTTTCTTTTTTTCTTTCTCTATATGTCTCCTTTCTCTTTCCCAATCTCTCTCTCTCTCTCTCTCTCTCTCTCTCTCTCTCTCTCTCTCTCTCGTACTGAACTAAGCAATCCACACTGACATCTAGTGGTTGGACCTCAAAAACTTTCTTTGACTTCCTATGAAACAGAGTTCAAAGGAGCTCCACTCAGTTATCAGTGAAATATTAACAACAAATGTCCAGCTCATCTACCTGAAACTGCTCTTGAGAAGTTGGAACATCTGGAAAGCTGCCATCATCTTGCAGCCTTAGAGTAACCAGGGCCAAGCCATGCATTAACACGCCTGCTATCTCCTAGACGTAATTTACACATTAGTACAACAGGCGGTCATTTATCACAGTCATGAGGAGCTTTCTTTAGTCTTATCTGCTGTTTTTAAGAGTTTGGATCTTAATAGCTTTTTTTATCACAGCTAATGTTTCTTTGCACCAATGAAAAGCGTCCTTGGCTTTTCTTGATATCACGCCTTCCCACTTCTCATGGACAGATGGTCTATTTGCTCTCCCTCTCTCTCTCTCCCTAACTCTCTCTCTCTCTCTCTCTCTCTCTCTCTCTGTGAAATGACAGTGCCTGAGGGCTGGTGGGAGAAATTGAGCATGTGTTATATTTGGAAACTGCATTTCCTCTGTAACGTGTTTAACTCTGCCGCTGTGACAGATGACAGTATGCCTTTCAGCTTTCACTTGTAGCGTTCATTCTCGCACTTTTTTTCCAGAGGCGCACGAGGAGCGGCTAATGTGCGTTTAAGCTTCAGAGTGGGCCCTCGGGTGGATTCCAGTTAGAGCACTTTCTTCTGTAACTCAAACTTGTTTTACAGCCTCCACAATCCCAGGCTTCTTAAAATACCACCAGCCTTTGATTTTCAAGGCTGCATGTATTTGCAGTTTGAGTCACAGCAGTTTTCTAGAGCTGCCACTCAGGAGCACTGAAAGGAAAGCTGCCTTCAGAGTGCTCTGATGCCAGTCATTTATAGAATATAAAGAAATATAGAGATATGTTTAAAAAGCTCCCACAATCACTCATCTCTGCACCGTCTATCAGTGTCTATCATAGTTTGTCTAAGTGACCATACATAAAAGTATCTGCCTCCCCCCGCCTCCTCATCTCCAGCGGCCTGACTAAATACATGCTTCACTGGAAGTAAGAGAGCTTGGTGTTCATAGTCCAAAATAACAAATTAAACAGCCCCACCAAAAGCCTAATAATCTACAAACAAACAAATAAATGCTGTCCTACTCCCTAACATAAACAGGTATAGATAATGCCAAAAAACAGACTCTCACTCCCTGCAGATTTTAGGGATGTATGATGATGATGGTGGAATCATATCGGTATTGGCAGATGATTGCATAAAAAAAAATCTGCATCGGACTGAAGTCAAACTGATGTTTGGTAATGTCAGGGGAAGCAAGTATTCAGACACTATTGTTTTAGTTATTTAATATACTTCCAGTGAATATATCCACTTCAAATTTACACAGATAGTGTCTTTGGACTTTGTACTTACAAATATGGAAAAAGTATGTATTCATAAGCATAAGATTTAAAAGACGAACCTCAGCTGCCAAAAGCTAATTTTCCTACTACAGACGTCTCAAAGCTGTAATTGCCAACAGTGGCTTTGCATCAGAGTACATTATCTTGTCAGTTTTGTTTTTATTTTTTAAATCATATTTTTGTTCAGGCTTCTGAGTACATATATTTTTATTCATATTTATATGTACAAAGTTAAAAGAATACTATGTGTGTGAATTTGAAGTGGATATATACACTTGAAGGTTACATTAAATAACAAACAAAACTGTTCCAAATGTTTGTTTACCCTCACTGTATGTATTGCACTCACAGAGTTCAGATGATGCTGGGCTAAAATGCTACAATATTTTACTGCATTTGTAACCCTTTAGAAAAAAATGCATATTTCTCTTTAGTGATAGACGGGATCTTAATTTCTATATTTTGTGTATTGGCATTCATATCGGCATCTCTAGATGTGTATGTGAAAATTGTTGGCATTGGCTCACAATTCCATTGTCAGTGTATCCCTAGCAGATTCCCTAATTTATAGTGACTGTAAAATGTACAGTTAATCTTTTACGAGTGGGGAAATAAACAACTATTTCTTTAAAAACTAAAAAAAAACTTGTGCTTTTGAATCTACTCTTCTTCTTTTAATAAATCAGCGTGCACAGCCCAAATAAACAATGCATAGCACAAGATGTGGCGTACACACATGGTCTCAAGAGTTTTATAGTGATAGCCTGTTTATAAAGACCATTAAAAGTGATGGAAAGAGAGCGGATGTCTGTGTGGATGTGAAATATAATTAAGTATTAAACTTGTAAACCAAAAAGTAGTGAGTTACATATTTTTTTCTCTATTGGTGGGTGATGTTTGTGTGCTGTCAGGTGTTTAAGGATGAGAAGTACCTGAAGGATGCAGTGGAGTGTGGGGAGGTGATCTGGCAGAGAGGGTTACTGAGGAAGGGCTATGGAATCTGTCATGGCACAGCTGGCAATGGCTACGCCTTCCTGTCCCTCTACAAACTCACCCAGGAGCAGAAATACCTGTACAGAGCCTGTAAGGTATGGAGCTGCACCCCTATCCTACACCCCTTTTATGTGTGCATTCTTTTGTGTGTTGGGTGTCAGTGTATGTTGTGTATTTAAAAAACTAAATTCCCTTTTCTTATGTTTGTATTTGAATATTCTTGGAAAGTTATCCTACATGTAACTCCCTGTGTGAATAAGAGGACAAATCTACACTACTGTTCAAAAGCTTAGAATCTGAAATGGGGGATTGTTTGAAATCAGTGTTTACAATCTAAAATGATTGTAATATGCTAGAAAATTATTGTAATATGCTAGTCCTGTGCGGCTTCACAGGTTTCAGATAATTAGTGGAACAAATAATTAGTCATTTCAAGCTGTAAAAAAAAATCTAGAATGAGAAAGCTGTATAGCATCAGGAATTAATTTAAAATAAAAGTAATATCCAGGATTCATCATATTTTAAACGTGGAGATCAAATCTCAAAGCAGATATGACAAACATAATTGTAAATACATGATTCTGTACCTTTACCATTTAATAACGTCTTGTTCCCAAAAATACCTTCTGCTAAAACATACAAAATTACCTTTTGCTGTCCAGTTTGTGTCATTTAAAGCTAAATGGTATAAGCTATTTTATACACATGCTATTATTGTGTATAAAAAGGCAGAAATTAATATAACCAAATATTTCATGCTTCTTTTGTGTCTGTATTGTCTGGACCTTTACAATGTATCTTTTTGTTCCACCCACTGCTGGGGATGGGGCATGTTTCTGTAGCCCCTCCCCTGCAGGATTTTGCAGCAGAGCACTTGAGTACAGAGTACTGTGGTTCCATATTGACCTGCACTTGGCTCTTCAGCCACTCAGCATGCTGGCAGGAAACGCTGCTGTAGGATCAGTCACGCCCTCCCCAGACTCCAGCAATGTCACACAGCTTCACACTGCGCTGATTTCCTTTCAGCGCTTTCAGCTAATGCCATTACTAAGTGCCAGCAGCAAGGATTTTCCACTGATTTTTGCCTTTCACTACCATACTGTTATACCATAACTGCAGCATATTACTGCAGTATAGGTTCATTAATTTTAGGTTTTATCAGTTTATAAGTCTGGCATATTTGTGTGTTTTTTGATCTTCAGCGAAGGCTCTGTATACACAATCATGTCATCACTGTCATGAAATGCTAACTTTTTTGGAGAAGGATTTTTAGTATTTATTTTTAGTGTAAGATCACATTATCATGTTGCTAGTGTGCAGTTTTATTTTAAAATACGAGTATTTTTACCTGCCTTTACCTTTCTGCATAACTAAATGTAAACAAAATAATTCATGATGTCAAAAGGTTCATTGTAGAGAAACTTACAGACTCAGTTTCTTCATAATCATGGTAATAGGAACCAGGGACCACAATGTCTACAATGCAAATTTGCCCATTTTATTTGCTATCTAAAACCACCAGTGAACCTACACGTGTCTTCTACATGTGTCTAAGCTTTATATGTAATGTTGATAATAGTAAAATAGTGGTAAATCCTAAAAAATAGATTTTTGGGAACCATTCACCTTGGGACACCATGCATAGGCCTCTCTGCTCTGAATGGAATGTAAAAAATACATTTTAGGCTAAAATCTTATTTAAATTATTGCAAAACAGACAGTGTTTCAGACAGTGTCTTCATAACCATGTTGTCACAATAACGTATATAGGCAGTAAACTCTTCAGATGCCTGACTGCTATCACCAATAATGTAAATACTTCTGACATGGTCATTTTTTTCTAGAATGGAACGTTTCACATCAAATATTATTCAGAGTTATGCAGAATTAAAAAGTGGAATTCCCCTCAATGATGTTTACATTTTCTTGGTGTTTGTGTAGGTGTAGCAATGACATCTTCTAACATCATCTCTTTCCCTTTTTTTTTTTTTAACATCAACCCTCATAAAATCGTTATACAGCCAAAGCCAGAGCCAGCCTCCAGACTGACCCTCTGCCGAAGGACAACTAGACACGCAGTGTTTTGATTTGAGATGGGTAGACTGATTCTCCCTATTCGCCACTGGTGTAGGGCACTTTCCTATTAGAGCTCTAATAATTACTGCAGCCTGGCCAAACTGCCAAGTAATGAAAGCATAATGGGCTCCGCTGTTCCTGCATCATTGCAGTAACCTTTTACAGCTGGAGTCATTTTGCACCGCAAATGATATGCCAGACATGGCTCCCGTCTGAGCCGTAACCGACTAGAGAAGACACTCTGCTGCTGCCTAAGTAACTCCAACTTTGGATGAAGAGCTCAAGTGAAAATGTGGTTGTTTGCTTTGTTTAGATTGCACTCATTGATGCATTTATTTTTTAGTGGCTGAGAAGACCATGTAGATTATCATGAATTTAAGCAAGTTGGTAGTGCATAAGTGTCAAATCACATTGTTTGCCTATTTAAACAAAATATATGTCCTGTAGATGCCTAATAATCCAACTTTTCTTCTGAAATCAAGGGTATTTATATGAAGTTTGCCCCACTTTGCTGCAGTGACAGCCTGTACTCTTTAGGGAAAGCTTTACACTGGATATTGGAACATTGCATTGAGGATTTGATTGCATAAGAGCATTAGTGTGGCCAGGTACTGAGGTTGAATGATTAGGTCTGGATCCTAAATGCCACTCCAGCTCATCCCAAAGGTATTGAACGATGCTACATCACTCGAGTTTCACTGCTTCACAGCCCAGTGCTGGGTTTTAGCTGACATATGTCATTGGGGACGGTGACCATAGGCTCATGTACATACATTCATACTGCTCCGTTATACACTCGGTGTGGAGTTAAGCACCAGTGTCAACAATGGGTGCACCTTAAAATAGCAGAATTGACCAATTAGAAGGGATCTCTGAATACTTTTGGACACTTGGAATTTTTTCTTTACAATTTGAAAGGTAGGACTGTGTAAGGCTTGGAAATGGGAAATGTAGTTTTACATAGTTTTTTTCCATAAACTTTGGCCAGTTGACACCACTCCTGCTCAAAAATGCACATGGCTGAATGCACTTTACCCCCAGCAAGCCACAAACATGCCTTAGCCTACTCAAAAATTTATGTGCTGATGAACATTTTACTCCCAGATCTTACACTGTAGATGATGGCAACATCAGAGATTTTGTTCCCTTATAGCAGAATGCAACCTACCATCATCTAAACTGTGTATTTTACTTCCTTTGACTGTTTGTAGGCTTTGTGTAATGAACTGTGAGTGAAAGGGACTGTTTCACTGTTTAAACATAAAGATTATGATTCTGTATGATGTAATTTGTATGATTTCTAGAGGAATATGTCGCAGTAAAGAAAAACAGGTAAACTAAGTAAGTGAATTTATACTGTATGGACGCTAGCTGTGAATATAAGCTTGGGATCTGTAGAGCAGGGGTGTTGAGGCCTGGTCCGGGAGGGCTGGAGGCCAGCACAGTTAGGTGAATTCCCTGATCACACACCTGGTTCAACTCAGTTAATAAGCAGGTTTAGTAGATGTGCTTGAGCTGCACTACACTGGACTCCAGCCCTCTAGGATCGTACTTCTAGACTTCTGCTCTAGAGGCTGAGACCTATGGTACATTCTAGTCTTATCATAGAATAAATAGGTAGCATGATTTTAAAGGAATGGTTCAATGTAAGATCAAATGTACTGTCTTACCCCAACATAACTGGTAGCTGGAGGGGTGTGAGCATGACGCCACTGGACTCTGGAGTGATGAATCATGCTTCACTATATGGCAGTCTGATGGATGAATCTGTAAAGTTTAGTGGAGGAGGGATAATGGTCTGGGGCTATTTGTCAAGGTTTGGGCTAGGCCCCTTAGTTCCAGTAAAGGGTGATGTTAATGCTTCAGCATACAAAGACATTTTAGACAGTGCTTCCAACTTTGTTGCAGAGGTTTGGATAGGGCCCTTTCCTGTTCCAGCATGAGTGTGTTCCTGTGCATAAAGCAAAGCCCATAAAGACATGGTTTGGCGAGTTTTAGAGGAACTCTGAAACAGTGGTCTGAACAGAGCCCTGACCTCAACCTCATTGAACACCTTTGGGATGAATTGGAACATAAATTGCGAGCCAGGGCTTTTTATCCAGCATCAGTTATTAGCAGCAAAGGGTGGACGGAATGGGATGGTTTTGGAATGGGATGTCCAGCAAGCTCATACATGTGTGATGGTCCACATACTTTTGGCCATATAGTGTATATAGATTTTATGCCTTGCATTGACACATTCTGACCACCCAAGGAATATATAAAAACAGACTATATTTTAGTGGTTATACTATCTATATATGCTGTGGTTATACTATGTCTTTCATCTATATATTGTTTAAAACACACTTCTTGTGTTTGTGTTGTAGTTTGCTGAGTGGTGTCTAGACTACGGAACACACGGCTGCCGTATTCCAGATCGACCATACTCCCTCTTTGAAGGTAAAGCTTGTGTTCATGTCTGTTTCTCACAAACGTCATTCTCAAATTATTGTCTGACCTTTTCTTTCCTTGCTTAAAAAAGGATAATTACTGTTATAACTGTCAAAATTACTGAGGCTCAGCAAAACTAGACGGCCTGATGTTTTGATGGCTTCAACAAAGGCCAGTTATAAAAGGTAGTCAATAGACATTTTGCCAACGTTTTTGTATTTAAAGAACCATGACGTCTTTTCTGTATCAGACATGATCAGACTCAGTAATTATGTGGAGGAAAATAAAAGGCATGCAATGATTTCTGTGATCCCTCCATTGTCTGGGTTTGTGTGCTAAGATTTCATCAGTAACAGAAACCTTGCTTGTGTTTTAAAGGCCTGAGTGGAGCGAAGAATAGATCTACATACGTTTTAGTGAAAGCAAAGTGAATAGAAATGGGGGGTGGGGAAAGCATTGGTGTCAGCCTTTTATAAGGTCATTAAATACGCTAAGTGTTTGTTAAAGCGATACATAAAAGGAGTTCTCTTCAACAGTAGGACTATCAAAAGGAGTGTGTGCAGTATTCATAATTGAAGTGAATGCTGCAGAAAAGTCAAAACACATACTCTCTTAAAGAGTCGCTATCATGTCATCAACATGGTAGTTGAAATGAGCTTAAACAGTTTAAAACCATTATGTTTTTGTATGAAATGTTTCATATATGACATTTTTATTATACATGCTGAAGCTTGGACTTTTTCCTAAAAGTAAATCCTGGAAATGTCAATTTACACTTTCTTCCATGTTAAGGGCATAGTAAGCAATCATTATGTCCATTCCTGAATGACTACAGCATTAAAGTCATTGTAAGTTGGAAATCATAATTTTTCCTTTCATTTTCCTTCCACATGTGAAACATGGTATGTCTTAACTATCTCAGCTTTTCACTTGGGGTGATGGGAGGGAAAGGATAAACGTTTATATTATTTGTTAATATTATTTTTACCCACCTCACTAGAAATAAAAAACTCAGAACATGTTTTAGAGATTGGCAGAAGCTATTTTTTGATGAAAGGCTACAAGAAAACAAAGATCTTTTAAACAATGCGATGAATTGCGCCTAATAACCTTGGACATAAACTAATAAGGTATAAAGGGTAATTCTGATTTCAGGTTGACGTTAAAAGTGCTATGGGCTGTCTGCCTGTGGCCATGATCAAGGAGTTGGCATCCAAAGCCATTCATCTGCTGCCTTACCTTATTGTTGCTATAGTAACATGCTTTCCTGCACGAGAGTCCGAGTAACAATAGCCCCTGATTGGTGGATACGTTCATCTCACCAGATTCACACAGGCTAGTGGAAGACCTGAGCCTCAGTCCACATATACACACAGAGAGCACTCCCTTAGTGCCCATTCACTGTCATTATCATGGTGTATGACGCTATATATTCATCTGCCATTTGAGGACCCACTCTCTAGGGTTGCTAGATGTAATTTACAGTGCAGCCTCAGACTTTTCGTACAGCATTAAAACAGTGTTGTAGGACGGTACTTGTGGAATATGGGTTAGTTCAGTGGTTCCCCATCCCTGTCAGAATCAGAATTGGAATTGCTTTATTTTGTTAGTATGTTACACATACAAGGAATTTGTCTTGGTGAGTGCACACTCAAAAAGCAAATAAACTATTAACAAATATTTAACTAAGATACAATACAATAAATAGAATAGAGAATAAGAAAGAATAAAGAGATTATTAGGAGAGGATTAAAGAGATGTGAATATCTGTACATATGCAGATGTGAATGTCGATACAAATGCTGGTCTTAGGAGACATATGACGATGACGGTGATGATGATGATGATGATGATGATGATGATGATGATGATAATAATAATAATCATGATAATACTCTTTATTTTTATAGCACTTTTCATGCCGGCAGCTCAAAGTGCTTTACAGACGGGAAATAATGCTTAACAGTAATACAAGAAACTAGGAGACGTAGAGTTTTAAATAAACACCAAGTTAAAGAGCTACGTTTTTAAATGTCTCTTAAAAATGTGCACTGAGCTTGACTGTCTAATGGAAGATGGAATTAAGTTCCACAGTTTAGAAGCATAAGAACTGAAAGTTGCCTCTTCATGTTTTCTGTAATTTACAGAAGGTTTTTGTAGAAGGCCTGTATGTGCAGATCTAAGATCACATGCTGGCTCATAAACAGACAGACATTCTGTGATGTAAGCGGGACTAGGTCATTTAGAGCCTATAATATAATACAGAACTTTTGTATGCAGAATATTACAGGATAAAATGAACATTTGTGTAAGAAAAAAAATCTGTACAGTTGTGCAAATAAGTGTAGTTACAGAGGAGTTATACTGTAATACAGTAAGGGAGGTTTGTTAGGTTTAGTTTAAAATTAAAGTGTCCACTGTGGTTAATGAGAGCTACAGCTCTGGGGAAAAAGCTGTTGGCAAGTCTGGCTGTGCTGACTATGATGGCCCTGAATCTTCTACCAGAGGGAAGTGGCTGAAGAGGTGATGTCCAAGATGAGAGGGGTTGGCTGTAATTTTGCCAACATGCTTCATCACCGTGCTGTTGTAGATGTCCTGAAGCGTTGGCAGACTACATCCAATGATCATTTCCACAGTCCTCATTATGCGCTGGAGTATGGCTCGTTCTTGTGAGGTGGAGGAACCAAACCAGATGGTTATGGATGATATGAGGATGGACTCGAAGATTGCTGTGCAGAACTGGATCATCAGGCTCTGCAGCAGATTGAATTACATCAGCTGTCCCAGGAAGAACATTGTCTGCTGTGCTCTCTTGGTGATGGAGACCATTCTCCCCCTTCAGGTCTCTGGATAGGGTTATGCATAGGAACTTGAGTGACTCCACAGTGGAAACCACAGAGCCACTGATGTTGAGGGGGGCTTAGTTGTGCCTGCAGTCCACCATCATCTCTGTGGTCTTGTGTGTTCAGCAGCAGGTGATGGCTGCTGCGCCAGGACAAAAGCTGCATCCTTTCTGTAGGCAGACTCTTCAAACTTCAGGATCTTTACAGCTTGTTCCTTGGAGACACAGTTGTTGGTGTAGAGACTGAAGAGAAGGGGCGAGAGCACACAACCTTGTGGTACTCTGGTACTGAGGGTCTGGGGGTCTGATGTGTGTTGCCCAAGCTGCACCTGCTGTCTTCTGTTTGTGAGGAAATCCATGATCTACCAGCAGATGGGATTTGGCAAAGACAACTGGGGCAGCTCTGGCTCTATAGTACTGAATGCTGAGGTGAAGTCCACAAATAGAACTCTGGTGTAGGTTCCAGGACTGCTGAGATGCTGTATAAGGAAGTGTAAGGCCAAGTTAACCGCATCTTCATCAGACCTATTAACTTTGTGCCCGAACTGCAGGAGATCAAGCCGAGGGTTTGTAATGGTTTTTAGGTGGGTTAGGACCAGGTGTTCAAAGACTTTCATGTCTGCAGAGGTCAGGGCTACTGGTCTGTAGTCAATTAGTCCAATAATGTTGGGTTTTTTCAGGATTAAAATGATGTCTGAAGTTTCAAAGCATGCGGGAACAAAGCAAAGTTCTGGTAGTTTATGGAAGATGTTTGTGAAAATCGGTGCTACTTGTTCACAGCGGTGCTGTAGGGTGGATAGGGAGACCAAGGCTGGCCTTGGAACTTTTCTCACCTTTTGTCTGCTAAAGAGCCTGTTAACATCCTGCTCATTGATGGAGAGAGTCAGGGTGGGAGAAGAGGGCAGGGGATTGAGAGAAAAAGGCTGAACTCATTCAGGTTGTTGGTGAGCTGGCAGTCATTCAAGAAAAGCGAAGTTTTTGTCACCTTGTAGTTAGTGGTCTCTTGGAGGCTTTTCCAGACTGAAGGTGCGTTGTTAACAGCAATGTGGCTTTTCAGCGTTTCTGATTGTTGCTTTTTAATCTCTTTCTCCAGCCTGTATTTGGCCTCTATAGAGAATTCTGTCCCACTCCTGATTGCTGCCTTCTTTTCCCTCAGAAGCTCTCCGAGTTCAGCTGAAAGCATTGTTTATCGTTGCTGTATTTTACCTGTGTTGTGGCCCTCGTCCTGTCCTCGCAGAACCTGACATATGATGTCATGGTGTCCGTGTATTTGTCCAGTCTGTCTGTAGCCTCTTCAAAAAGAGTCCAGTTTGTGGATTCAAAGCAGCTCTGTAGCTTTTCAGTGTCTCTGCTGGTCCACCTCTTCACTCTTGTGACGACAGGCTTGTTGGTTTTAATTTTTGCCTGTATGTTGGGATGAGGTGAATGAGACAAGCCATAAAGGGCTTGTACACGGTACTTTCCTTCAAGAAATTAAAAAATATATATTTATTTAATTTAATTAAATAACAAACAAGACAAAATGACAATATTGGATGTATTTTTCGTCATGTAATTGAGCTAAAGTTGATAAACATTTTTCATTGTCATTTCCAGCATGTCTGCTTTCCGTTACAACAATATAGAATTGTAAACTGGAAACTCAACATTACATAGAGACTCTAAACAAAATGCTCTACAATTTCTCACTAGGTCAAATGGGATTTTAGCCAGTATGCTATAAAGCTTGTCCAGCCTAGCAACAGTTGCTATGAAAGAGCTTATTTGTAGGCGGAGCATGGATAAGTCAACTACCAAGCCTTTCTTGAGTTGAATTGGGTGTGTTCGAGCAGGGAAATGAGTAAGACAGTGCTGCTCCAGGATGAGGGTTGGGAACTACTGTCTTAGTCCATGATGATGTGCTTTTGTGATGATGAGTTCTTTCTCTCTCTCTCTCTCTTTCTTACAGGAATGGCTGGAGCGATACACTTTCTCTCAGACCTGGCTCAGCCTCAGGCTTCCAGCTTTCCTGCCTTTGAACTTTGACCTGGGCCTCTGGAAGCACTGACTTTTACTCCCCTTTATTCGAAGAGTCACCTGAGACGGTGAAAGCCCCACTGTCCCAGAACACTCAGACGCAAAAAAAGAAAAAAACTCCCAACCTTCAGCCTATAACTTAAAACATGCCGCCTTGAGTTCTGTCTCTGTAGCTTTGATGTCTTTGCCCTTGCTGTGCTTTTTTTTTTTTAACGTATGTAAGGATGTATACTTTTATTTTGTGTATATTTTTTGCTGAAATGTTAATTGATTCCCATTTGTCATGCTTTTTTATCTGTGAAAGGGATGACATTCTCTTGCTAATGGATCCTTGCCTCTGCATGCTTGTGTTCTGATACTATAGCAGTGCCTCGACCGCCCCGTGTTTGTCTCTGTCCTTGCCGTTGGTGTGAAAGGGCTTTTCACGTGTTGGAGCCTGTCTTTGTTGTGTCTTTGCATGGGGATGGCTGAAACATGACAGTGTACGCCTTCAGCTAAACTATTAACATCTGTAACATCAGTTAAGCACTCAGAGTGGTGTGGGTGTTGCTGTGAGTGTATATTGAAAGAGTGTTGGTGCGTTGATGTCTGGACGTGTCTTTATGGAAGATTGTGAGAAAACTGAACCGAACTTTTCCAGTAAATATTGTTCCCTCAGGCGGACAATGTTGTTATGAATGTTGTAATAAATTGGGCTTCTTTTAGCTGCATCTTATTCGCCTGTAATTAAAATCAATCTCCTGAAAATATGTCGACGTCAACATGAATCAGAAATCGTAACACATTTTCCTTTTGTACTGTGACACATTTCAGAGTGAAACATGGTATCAGGGAGGGTCTCTGAGCTGGCTGAGTGTCTTCACTCTGTGAAAGGTGGGGGTGGGAGTGGGAAGACATTTCAGAAAGATTAAGGCAAGTGACCCTGAACTAACAAGGTAAAAAGGCCAGTTCAGGTTAGTTTTAATAGATTTTTAAAAAACAGAATAATGCTTGCTGGATTGCATGTGAGTCCTGTAGGGTGTTCTGCAGGCCTTGAATACTCACTCGGCATTTCTGAACAAATACTCAAATACTCCTTCACAAAATTACCCTTAAAATAATAAGTTCAAATATTTCCAGTAGTTAAATGTGTTAATATACAGGCTAAAGCTTAGCTGCTTGCTTGCTGTATGTTGCTGTAGAAGCCGTGATTGTAGCCCTTTAGTTCAATTACAGCGTTTATCAGTCATGTGAATGCTAAGGGTGTTATGAATGAGAATTATATCTGTATTTGCAGTCACTGTGTTAGTCAGTTCATTTTAGTTAGCTGTTTTTTATCATGGAAAGCTGCAATGAGGGCTACGTAGAAGCAGCGTAGTTTGTTGTGCTCGGAGGTCAGGTGACCTGGATGCCTAGCAAGAATTTATGATGCAATCAATTGAACCAACAATAATTTATTTATTTTTTTAACATGTTCCTAATATTAAAGGGGAACTCCACTGATTTTGCAAAATTGCTTATTCAATGGTTCAGATGTAAACAAAATTATTCAGAGTGGTTCAGTGTGAAATGCGCCTTTCTAGAGAAATTTAGAGTCAGAATTGTTCACCATTATAGTACTAGGAACCAGACGTCTGAAGCATTTAAAGCTACATCCCATTATTACACAGAATGGTTATGAATGTGTTAATTGATATCTGAGACATTGTTTTGTGATAGTTATGTTATAAAGTTTTGGCCTAAACATATTTTTAATATGAACTATTACTCCAGGATTACTTCCGTGTTTCCTGTCAAAACCGCATTCTCAACTGAGATCAATGCACGCGAGCTAACCTGCTTTTGTAGTTACTCGCCTGTAGCTACAGCCGTTCAGCGTGGCTAACGCTGGTGTTGTATCTGATTCAGTTCCCCCTCAAATTTACGCTCCCTTTGTCTAATCAGGTCCTCAGGCGCTGCCTTTACTGAACAGATAACAACGCGAGTAACACTGGAACTACGGAAAGCGGGAAGATTCAAAAAAGGTTGGTACAGCAGCTGTGTTCACCCAATTAATGATGAACAGTACGAAAAGTATTTATCAGTATGATTATTTACTGTTTACCCGAGTTGAAAATAATATTTAGCACGGAATCTCAATTATGCTGTGTTAGGTGAATTAATGTTGGGCATTGGGTGAAAACGCGCGGCCGTTCAATCTTTTTTTTTTTTCAACCTTTTCGCTTTCCGTAGTTCCAGTGCTGCCTGGTATTGTTCAGTGAAGAACCCGATTTGTCAAAGGGACGTGAATTCGAGGGGAACTGAACTGAGTACAACAACGGCAGCAGCAGGTTTTTAGTTTATTATTTATTCTTTTTTTTACAGTTTTCTTGACTGTTTTGGGAAGATGGCAAAGGTCTGTTCGATGAGGTCTGTATTCAAATGTCGCAGAGCCAAATCGATTTGAACTAGAACACACAATGACTTGAGAGAGAGAGAGAGAGAGAGAGAGAGAGAGAGAGAGAGAGAGAGAGAGAGAGAGAGAGAGAGAGAGAGAGAGAGGCGCTGAACCCGCCGGCGCCGAAGCAGAAGAACTCAGGGCGAATGGAAACTGATGGTGTCAACAACAAACTACTGCTCTGCTCATCAGTTTATGCGGTAGGACAGCGAGGTGCAGCTGTGATCCATCACAGCTCCTCTGATGAATAACGTTACTCACATAAACTGCCGACAAAACACCAAGGCGTGCAGGTAGGAGAGCTACATACGCGGCATTGTAAGGGAAAAATAGTACCCAAACCGATTTTTTTTTCTAATTTAGCACGACTTTACCATAATCAACATATATATGACATATAAAATCTTATAAGACACTTGTAAGTTCGCTGGTCATTTTGGATAGCAGATAAATTGGTGATATTTGTGGTGTAGACAAACGGACGTCTGGTTCCTACTGTAGGTTAATGGTGAACAATTCTGTAAATTTCTCTAGAAAGGCGCGTTTCACACCAAACCACTCTGAATGATTTTGTTTACATCTGAACGGTTAGATGATTAAGTAAGTTTCTAAAATGGGCAGAGTTCCCCTTTAACAATAACTCTCCGAAGGCCTTTTCTGGTGAAACAGTGTAGTCCAGGCTACAATTTTTGTGGCTTGAGAAAAAGACAAAGCTTCTGAAAACTAAACTGTAGAAAATCAAATACCAAAGTGAAGAACAGTTTGCAAGACTGTAAACAAGTTTGTAAAACTGTTAAAGGTTTATGATTTTTATTTCTCATAAAAAGGTAAAATTTTTGAAAAACACCAAAATTTCATATCTATCTATCTATCTATCTATCTATCTGTCTGTCTATCTGTATATCTATCTATTTTAGGAGGATGCTGCTCCTTTTGCTCATGTGTTCCTGATGTCTATAAGATGAAGGCAGTTGGTCAAAAATCCTAAAGTCTGTTATATTCTGTGTAATACAGTAAACAAGGTTTTTCATATGAACTTCTCAAAATGCTGTCCAAGAAAAGAAAGTTCACTTAATCCTTTATGGGAGCTGCAAAGGATTTTGCTAAACCTCTTATAAAAGAGACATTCGAGCCTTTATTCCAAAGATGTCCTAAAGGGGCTGCTCGGAGTCTGACCTCATATTGCGGTCCGAGTCAAAGTGTGCTGGAAGACTCTCTGTTTAAAACTATTTGACTGCTGACTGTATCTTCTCTCCTGTATTGTCTTAAAAGAAATGGCCATCGTATAGACCAGCTTATATAACTCACCTTCTGAATGTGCAGTTCGAGATAATAGAGCAACATTGTGTTATTTACTGGGATGGAGGTCAGTGGGCCTCTGGCTGGTGTGGCGGTTATGTAAAGTCTAATTACACCCACCTATCACTGAAGCATTAAAACAGCCACTGCCTTGAGTTATGTGGGGAGTTCTGGGAAGGAAGAGGCTTTGAGTTATGTGCTCAGTTAAATGACTCATCTAAGATTGTTAGCCTGAGAGAAACTCGGGAAAAGCACAAGCTATCTTTAATTGAAGCCTGGAGTAAAGCTTAACTGCAGAAAACATTTCTCCAGTGATAGTTGGGAAGATTGTTAATACTGAGAAATGATTCCACAAACAGAGACTTTGTTTACACTATATATTTTTTAAAGCATGTGGCACAAATATATATATTTTTTTTTCCAGGAGCTTATTAAAACAGCACTGCAAAACAGATTGTTCAGTGGCAACGTAGCAGTTATACTGCCGTTTGTTTTCCTTTTACAACTTGTACGATGCTTTAAATAGCCTGGACTTTTTAAGGTCATTCCTAAACATCTCTCATGAAGAATAATGTGGCGGTCAGTGTTTAGAAATGGATCCAGACCTGAATGATCACAGTAAGGCCCAGCCTTTACTACTGGGCATTTACATATTACATATTTTAATATTGAAGCGTCGTCTTCGCAGTTCACATACGCTCCTCTGCTTTTTTTGCATTTCAGTCTTGGCGAGTGTGGATACTTCAGAAAAGGTGTTCCACTTTCTAATGAGATTTGTCAAATGTAGCCAAGAACCGATTTAATTTTCCAGGAATATTAACAGAGTTGACCTAGCTTTATCCTTTGCAGCAGGATTGAGAAGATGGGTAAAGCAGATGGATCCAATTAGCTTAATGATCATGCAGTACATTTAATTAGCCTTATTGCCACATTACCACTGTGGGGTAAATTATGATGAACTGAAGGTGAGTCAATCTGTGACAGAATCAGTAATGTTTGTTTTGGTAGCTAAAATGAGGAGTCTTGTTTAGCGTCCACAGCTGCTCACATATTGGCTGAGACAAAGCACAAAACTTTATATACTGTTGTCCTTAATTAAAACCTGTTAAATGTACAAGCGGACAACTGTGCTTTTCTTGGTCTATATCTGTACGCAGCATGTAAAAAAACATGTTACAAAAATCGAATGTAGTGTAGTTTTAAAGGTGCCATATTATGGATTTTTTTCCTTTTTTGAAATAGAAATGTTTGATGTAGCATTAAAACACTTACAGTTTCAAAACTTACCACACTGTCCAGTTCATACAGTCCATATATGGAAACTCAGCTGCAAAACAGCCTGTTTGGAATTCACTGTTCTGTGGAAATCATTTACATACATATGCAGCAGTTTAGTTAGGCCATTGACTCTGAAGTTGTGAGAAGTGTTTCAGCCCAGACAGCTTTTTGAACAAGGCACAATATAGGGCAGCAGCTCATTTACATACATTTGCCTTAAAGGCCAAATCCACCAATATTTAAAATTTGTGCATAATTTAGTGGTTAAGATGTAAACAAAGTCAGAGTGGTTTGAGGTGAAATGGGTCATTTTAAACAAACTTACAGACTACCAAAACAATCAGTGAACCCACATGTTCTTTTTAAAAGCACTGGTCTTCTAAAAAAAGTTTCTCTAGGGGACTATTTTGCCTAAATAGTATATTTTAAGTGAAAATCTAGTGATCTAATATGGTTAAACCTATTGTGATCCATGTTTCAAACAACATTATCATTCATAACCATGTTATGTCATGACTTTCTGTGAGGTAGCTTTTAGAAGCTTTAAACTCTTCAGGCGTTTGGTTCCTATCACCATCACTGTGAAAAATTAATACTTATGTTTCTCTAGAACAAAGCATCTCATGTCAAACAACCCTGAATGACTTTGTTCACATCTTAACCATTTAGTTATGCTGAAATTTTGAAAAACATTTTGGTGGAATTCCCCTTTAAAGGCACAG